ATGTGGAAGGGGGTGCCTGTGACTCCTGAGGCCTCGCCTGCCCCTCTGCTCCCCCTTCCTTGTGCCATCAGTGTCTCCCACCAGCATCAGGGTGTCCCACCAGCAGCTGCGGCTGTGTCTGCATCCTGGCAGCAAGGACTAGGCTCTTGCTCCATCTCAGCCCAGAGAGGGAAAAGCCTGGGCAAGGCCACCCAGCCGTCCGAGGAGGGGGCAGGGCAGGGAGCAGGTGGCCCGGCCCCAGCACGGGGGGGTGGGGGGGGTGCAGTGAGAGGTGTGGGGAGGAGGCTGGCTGAAACTGGAGTCCGAGCTGGTCACTGTTGCCATGGCTCCCAGAAGTGGAGGTGCAGAGCACCTAGGTTTCCCTGTGCCAGGGTGAACCAGGAGAGAGAGGGCAGAGAGGGGAGAGAGACAGGAGCACACAGAGACCCCCGGGGGCTGCCTTGGGCCCGTGTTCGCACCTTAGCAGCCTCAGTTCTGTGCTCTGGCAAGTGGGGACTGTGGCCTTTCTCGGGGCCCTGGAGCCGGGCAGGGCCGCATGCCCACCTCCCTCACTCCGTCCACACCTGGTTTTTATCAGAATTGTTCAGAATAGAGGAACACGGAAGGCATCGCAGCGAGCACACATGCTTGATTCAGAAATGGGTGCCGTTCACTGGGGATCCACTGTGTGTCTGTCTTTCTTTTTTTTTAAATAACATCAACTTGCAAAGAGGCCAGCCTGGTGGTCTTACGGAATGTCTCGTTGTGGGTTTCTCTGAGCGTTGCCCGCCATGGCGCCCTCTTGTGTGTTCTTTGATCCCCGAGGGCTAGTTTTTCTAGAAGGTTTCTGGGGGCTTCACTAGACCCACAGGAGACCTCCTGGCAAAGTCTTCATAGGTGGGTCCCTGGCATGGTGGCACCCTGGGAGCCGCTGACATCTGGGGCTAAGCTCGCTTGTGCGACTGGGCTGCCGGCCACACCTGTCTGGACACAGTCCTGTGGTTCCCCTCTTCCCTGCACCCCAAATCGCCCATCTCATTGCAGCAACGGGCACCGGCTCCCACCCCAGACCATGCTGGGCCATGCTGCTGCTGGCGGCCCTGGGCCTCGGGCTGAATGTTCTGGGGTCTGGGATGTTCGGGGCCGATGGCTCAGGGGCGGGGCGGGGGGAGTGAGAGTCAGGGTGGATTGCAGCATGCACGGGTGATCCGAGTGTGACTGTAGGATGCGTGCGCATGTGGACGACTGTGTGCAGAACTAGAAGTTGTTCACAGGGTTAGCGGGAGGCTTTCGTGCCCTTGAACGCAGTGCTTCCGTGTTGCTGTTAAGCCATCTTGCCTTTGGAAATGCACTGAGCAGAGAGAGGGCGAGGGGCGGACGGTGGCCACATGAAGTGGATGGGGCTCACGAAGAGATTGTGTCGTCAGCCTGGCAGGGAAGTTCGCATCAAGGGGAGAGCAGTGACCTTGGGGCCCCTGTGGAATTAGGATTTCCAGCTGCGTCCTGTGGAGAGCGCCAGGACCGGGTGTGGGTGTAGGGTTGAGGTCGGCTGGTGCATGACGTGGCTGTTGCTAAAGCCAGATTTCCCCCTCAGAGTTTTCGGAAATGAAGTTCATTTACTGGTACCACAATCAAAAAGAAAACCAGTGTGGGTGGTGATCATTTTCTTAAAGTAGAGAATGTTGAAGCAGTTTCCATTGAGTGTTTCAGCCTGCACTGACTTTTCAAGGAAAAAAACACGGAAGCACTCGTTTTGTTAGAAGTGATAGGTCGCCCATAACCTAAACGGGCTTAAGCAGGAAAGAGGATTTATTGGATGTTTGCATTCAGGCGCGGCTGGATCCAGGTGCACAGGGTTTTATGGGATTGTTTCTCTATCTTGTTCTGTCTTCTGTGTTTGGCTTCATTTTTCTCCCATTCCACATGGTGAACTTTGGTAGTTCCAGGCCCATATCCTCTCAGGTTTGGGTCCAGCGGAATATATTTAAGATGTGTCCCTTCTCAGGACGCCTGGGTGGCTCAGTCAGTTAACCATCTGGCCCTTGATTTCAGCTCAGATCATGATCTCAGGGTTGTGAGATCGAGCCCTGTGTTGGGCTGCACGCTGAGCCTGCTTAAAAGAAGAAGGAGAAAAAGAAGAAGAAGTAGTATTTCTTCTCAGTAGCTTTCATGGAAGTCTTAGAATTCAGTGTGCTTAGAACAGCTGGGGGCGTGTGATCACACCTGCCCGCCCTCATCTCTGTGGCGCAGGGAATTTGGTGCCAGGATTGGTCAGGCAAGGATCCTGTGTTCTGTGCTTGGTGCCTGAAGTAGAGCTTCTTGCCACGTCGCATGGCCTCTTCATGCCTGTGGTGTGCACGTGTACTTCTGTGTATACGTGTGTGTGGGTATGTGTGTGTGAGAGAGAGAGAGGGGGAGAGAGAGAATGTGGGGGGGGGGTTCCTGGCAGAGCGGGAGGGGATCCTGGTGGCCAAGAGGACAACGGTTCACTCTGTGCAGCTAAGGAGTCCCTTCCCGTGTTGTAGGCCTGGACTCTGGCCGTAGCGTGTGTCTGCGGCGGCGTCCATTGCACAGACTGTGCAGACCGCACGGGCTGGGGATGCTATATGCTGTGCCCCTAAGGTCCCTGATGTTTGGGGGGCACCTCCCCGGCCCATGTGGGACCTCCGCAGGCGCCTTGCCCTCTCTCAGCTACTGCCTGTTGCTGGTGAGGTCAGCTCCGTTCCTTCTGCTAACCTTTTCCTGGTCGGGTCCCTCTCTCAGCCCGAGCACTTCCAAAGGCACCCATCTGTTCCCCTCTGTGTCCGGGGCCCTGGTGCCCTGCCCAAGACGTGGTTGTCAAGTGAATGTTCGAGGCCTCTGTGACCTCCCCGCCCTCCTGCTGAGGCCTGGGTGTCAGCCACGCCAGCCCCGGCCGCCTCTCCCCTGACCTTCCTCTGGGGAGCTGCCTACAGCCTTTCCATCTGCGGGGCAGCCCTCCCTGAGTGCCTGATGCATCTGACCCCCCGGACACACAACAGCACCCAGAAACAGCATGTGGCCAGCCCCCGCGCCTGTCGAGGCAGGCACCTTCCTGACCCCCGTTGCCATAGGGTCACTTCGCCTACTTCAAACTTGTAAAGCGTGGAACTGTGCGCTGTATCACCCTCTGCATCGGGCCGGTTGCTGGGCGTGATTGTGGGGCCCCCTCCCCACCGTGTCAGGACACCAACTGAGGATGGCCTGTTCACACGGCTGCAGAGTGCGCCCCCGTGGGACTGTCATGGTGACAGCCCTCTTCCACTGGCCGTGGCTCCTTGGGTCATTTCCCGTGTGGGGTGTTTACAGGAGTGCCGCCCGGAACGTCCTCGCCCCATTCCCTGTCTCTCCACGCACAGATGTACGTGTTCTGTACATGGGTCCAGGCTGGATTTGCGGGGTCCTGGGTGCCCACCCCTGTGTATTTCTCTTTTCAAGTTAGATTCTAATGTTTAAACATTGTCAGCCGTCATGGATAAGCACAGACTCTGGCTTCTCCCCACAAAGGGAGTGGGTATGGCCGCGATGAGCAGTTTCTCGGTGACCCCCGGAAAGGGGGCGTGCCGTCCCTGCCCTGGGCCTTCCCTGACTCCCTGTTCCCGCGTACCTCTGGTGGATGTCGTGGGTCAGCGTCGTGATGTCCTCCACGCCTCCCCTTCCCGGGCTCTGCCTGTGAGCAGGGGCCTCCCTGACCCGTGGCTCAGTTCTCTCATCTGTAAAACGGAGATGAAAACAGCACTTTGCCAACAGAGAGTTTTGAAGAAGAGGAAGGCAGCAAGGTTTTAGATCTTTTTATAGTCCTGAAATATCCTTCTTACATGGTCAACCACACGTTGTTTTAGTTCAGGTCACTGTGTCTTGTACTAAGAGCCACACAGGCTTTTGTGAAAATGAAAAAAGGCTAATTAAGCGTGGGAAATTACATGGATTTACCAACCCTTACCCGGGATCTCTTGGAAAACGGCATTCTTGCAACATTGTGCATTTCCCTTTGCTAGTAAAAGGCGGGCCAGACTACGTGCTGCTCTCACTGTGCGTTTTCAGTCTTTTAAAAACACCTTTATTATGATAGGATTCAGGTTACATAAACAGTTAGCCTTCACAAAGCCTGCCTAGTCCCCCGTGTTTAGTGTCATCTCAGAGAATGTGCACCTGTCACCCCCATCACTTTGAGGACATTTCCTTTACCTCAGAAGGGACCAGTGCTTCCTGGCTTCTTGGCTGTCCCCATCCCTGTTCCCTCCCTCTCCCAGCCCCTGGCAGTCACCGATCCGCTGTCTGTCTATGACCTTGCCAGTACCAGACGTTTCGTATGAATGGAATCTTGTCTTTTGTGACTGGCTTCTTTCGCCCAGCGTCACGTTTTGAAGAATCACCCACGTGGTAGCATGGGGGTGCAAATACTGCATTATCTGGGGCCTAAGAGGGAGTTCTGTAAAGATTTGCGCAGGTACTGACGCATTATCCCAGGCACAGAATAACCACGTTTGGTGACTCATAGCTCTGCAGCCACGAGCAGTTCTAGTTAATCTTTGCTGGCCTCAGTTTCCCCGTCCATAAAATGGGTGCAGGAGTAAGTGTGTGTCTCTGTGCAGGCGTGATGGTGGCCTTGAGGACTTAGGCCCTGAGGGTGCCATTCCCACTCAAGTGTGCGCCGCCCCCCTGCCCCCTGCCCTGCCCTCCTGCAACATAGGGCGGCTTGGTGAGACGGAGCTCCAGCCGGGGGCACCAGGGTCCGAACAAGAGGCAGTCCCATACACGGGCCTACACCTTTGGGGCTCTGGCTCCCCGGACCTCCCCCATGTGGAGAGTGGGCTGGGCAGGTGAACAGAGGTGGAAATGTTGTCTTGATTTGGGGTCTTGGGGGGATCAGAAGTAGGTGTTTTTTTTATGTTAAGGAGGAAGAAGCAAGCCAGGCACATGAAGGGCGTTTCCTTCATTCCTTGAGCCCTCGCGGGTCCTGTGTGTTCCATGTCCGCGGGTTCTCTGTGCTTCTCCCTCAGGGTGTTGGAAGGAGCCCATGCTGGAATCCCCGAGAGGTGGCGTCAGGACGGTGTGCCTGGGCCGCCCTGCCCAGCAGCAGAGCATGTCCCAGCTGGACTTGGAGGAGCTGGCCGAAATAGGTACCGGATGCTCTCCTTCAGGCCTCGTCCTGCAAGGTGATCATGGGTGTACATTGGCTTTTAATAGATAATATACATATGTGGGGGCTCAGGTGGGATAATAGCGTCGGTCACTGCTTCAGGCTACCCACTAAGGTGCCAGCTTCTGCATCCCCATCTTACAGACAAGCAAACTGAGGCTCAAGGTAACTGGGAAACATGCCCCAGGGCACCCAGTGACAGGGGCCAAGCTGGGAGGAGAGCCTCTCCCCGGAATCGCCCCCTGGCGTTTTGGTTCGGATTGTCCGTGTATGTGTTTACCTGCGAGGCTCTTCCTGTTAATGCACTCGGGCCCGGGCTGTTTGAGTCCACTTCCCTCCTCCAGGTCTGAAAAAACCGGAGTAGATCCTAAGAACCTGCTGACGTCCTGTTGCCCTGAAATAAACAGATTCCAGTTCTGTGTCCTGCGTCAGCGTGTCCCACCCAGATGCACGACGCCTTGGCTGGTTTTGCACCTGCTGTGTGATCCATGCCCGAGGACCCATCATTGTGCCTCTGGTTTGCTCCCCTGGCTGCTTAAGCCACGCAGCAACACTGAAGCACTTCTCACTTGGGCCCCCGGTGGCAGGAGAGGGAGCCCGACGTCAGTGGCACGGTTAGGGATGGCCGCAGGGGACATGCTTGTTCCCTCCATCCCCTCCCTTCCTTGGGTGGTCCAGCGTTCTGCCTCCTCCCGTTTCCATGGCTGTGCCCCACATGCTAAGGCAGTTTTTTCTTTTTCTTTTTTTTAACTGAGGTGCAATTAACGTACCATAAAATTAGCTTAAATCATCTTAAAGTATTTACTACCTTCAAAATGTGCGGTGTCCCCACAACGTTAGAACATTTCCATCACCCCAAAAGGAAACCCCAAACCCCGTTAACAGTCACTCCCTCCCTCGGCCCTGGTAACCGTCAGTCTGCGTTCTGACGCCATGGGGTTACCCGTCCTGGGCATTCTAGTTAACAGAATCCTACATCATATGGTCTCCTCTTTACCGTGGTGCGGTATTTCCTGGTTTCTAGGTCCGTCTGGGTTGTCACACTATCAGTACTGTGTTCCTCTTTTTTTTTTCTTTTTTTGAAGATTTTATTTATTTTATTTGACAGACAGATCACAGGTAGGCAGAGAGACAGGCAGAGAGAGAGGGGGAAGCAGGCTCCCTGCTGAGCAAAGAGCACGATGTGGGGCTTGGTCCCAGGACCCTGGGATCATGACCTGAGCTGAAGGCAGAGGCTTAACCCACTGAGCCACCCAGGCGCCCCTAGTACTGTGTTCCTCTTATGTCTAGAAAATACCCAGCACACGGGTAACCCACATTTTGTCTGTCTGCTCCTCCCTGGATGGACATGTGGCCGGCCGGGGCCACGTCTTGGCTGCCATGATTGTGGCGTGCACTTGTCTTTGTTAGAACACCTGTTCCTGGTTCTTTGGGGCGCCCTGTTTTCCAGAACTCAGCTTAGCACTGTCCCCGCTTATCAGGATGCTTCACGTGGCCGCCTTCCCCGCGTCTGTGTCTCTTCTCTTCTCGTCAGGACCCCAGTTGTCAGATTTAAAACCCACCCTAGTCCAGTATGACCACGTCTTAGTGAATTTCATCTCTAAAGACACTATTTCCAAATAAGGTCCCATCGTGAGGCCCCAGGCGGACAGGACTCTTGGAGGGACACTCCTCCATCTGGCGCATCTGGGGACCAGAGTCTACTCCGGCCTAAAAGTCGAAGGTCCCTATCTCTTTCCAGCTGAAAGCATCTCTGCCTTGATTTGTTTTGCATGAAGGAACCTCCCCCCACCCCCCTGAAATGAAACTGGAAGATGGTCCTTTTTCCTCCTTCATAGCACAGTGGCCCATTTTGCCCTCCAACCCAAATGTGGTTTCCTGCGAGCTGCCTGTGTCCACATCTTCAAGGAGGGCTTGGGTTGGTTGGAATTTGGAGCTGGGCAATCGAATTCAAGTCCACACTCCACTGTCCAGGACCAGTCTGACCTTGGGCCCTCATTCCCTGTTTCTGAGCCTCAGTCTCCCCCCTGTCAGTGTGGAGGGCTGTACTCAGCCCTGAGGTCTCATTTTATGCCTCCATGGTTCTGCACGCTGAGCGGGCACATAGTGGGTGCACAGGAGAGGTGGGCACATAGTGGGTGCACGGGAGAGGCGGGCACATAGTGAGAGCACAATAGAAATGGGTGCATAGTGGGTGCACACTGAGGCATGGTGACCTATAAAGAGACCTCAGGAACCCATCTCATTGCCCCCTTCCTCAAGAAGACAGCTGAGCCCCTCTTATCCTTGTTGTCTACCATAGAGCTGCAGAGAAATGAAGAGGAAGCAGCCGCTCTGAGCATAGTGAGGAGGCCATCGGCAGTGCCCGCGGCTGCCCAGGACCCTGCGCTAAGCATGAATCACCCCTTCTACGACGTGGCCAGGCACGGCATCCTGCAGGTGGCAGGTGGGTCGCAGCAGGGTGGTCCCGGGAACACTGACAACATCAGCATCTCTGTGGGCCTGGTGGCACGGGGTGGGCTTGCCGGGCTGCTTCCCTCCGGCTGGCTGCGGCCCCAGAATGAAAGCCACAGGAATACCTGTGTTTGGAAAAAGCAGCTGACATCGGGGTCCTCCAGAGGGACAGGACCAGGAGGATGTATCGAGGTCCATGCGAGAAGAGGTTTCTTGTCGGGATTGGCTCTCCTGTGATGGTGGAGGCTGGGAAGTCCCAGGATCTGCCGTCGGCAAGCCGGGGAGCCCGGAGAGGCCGGTGGTGTACGTCCTTGCCCTGGTGCTGGAGGACCACGGGCGCTGGTGTCCACCGGTGTCCGAGGGCTGGAGAGAGTGGATATCCCACTCAAGCAGAGAGCAAATTCCCCCTTTGCCCTTTTGTTCTGTCCAGGCCCTTAACAGATTGGAGCCGCCCTCCCACCTCGGGGAGGGTGATCTTCCTTTGGTTCAAATGCCGCTCCACTCCGGAAACACCCTTCGCAGGCACAGCGAGAACTGATGTCGTACGACCCTCTGGGGCTCCCTGAGCCCAGCCGAGGTGGCCCGTGGTGTTAGCCGTCATAGGCAGTGACCCTGACATCTCACCTCTTTTTGGCCCCTGTACCGACCTCCGTAAACATTAGTCCCTGTCCCTGAGGAGTTGGAATGGTGTCAAGGTGATGATGAAGCAGAGGACAGTTCCCGATAGTTGGAGGCCCCCAGACACAGACACTAAGTGTTTTGGTGCACAGTCCATGCAGACGACCAAGGAGAGGGTGGGGACTAGACAGGTGGCCAGCCGTTTCTAGCCCCAGGTGTTGATTTTAGAGAATCTTTAAGGTTTGGGGAGCAGGTATGGTTGCTGGACCCCATGTAGGAGTACAGATCAGGTGCCCACAAAAGGAAGGCAGGAAATAGTTATTTTTCATAAGAATAAAAAATTATTTATGGTACTGTGCAATGGGTTATTTTTAAAGATTTTAAAATTTTATTTAAGAGAGGGAGCATGCGTGTGAGCGGGGAAGGAACAGAGGGAGAGGGACAAGTAGACTCTGCTCTGGGCATGGAGCCTGACATGGGACCCAAATCCCGGCCCTGGGATCAGAACCTGAGTCGGAACCACAAGTCAGAGGCTCAACCGACGAGCCCCCCAGGCACCCCCGGCGATGGGTTATTTTTAAATAAATGAGTAAATACTTCAAAATTTTCTCTTTTAGGTTTCTAGTATGGGCAATTTCTATAGAAATAACCCACTTCTAAGAAATTTTAAGACTCTTTGAGGACCTGGGCGCCTGGGTGGCTCTGTCAGTCGAGCCTCCGACCCGTGGTTTTGGCTCAGGCCATGATCTCAGGGTCGTGAGATCAAACCCCGTCTCAAGCTGCGCACTGAGCCTGGAGTCTGCTGGGGATTCTCTCTCCTTCTCCCTCTGCCCCTCCCCCAGTTCACACGTGCTCAGTTTCTCTCTAAAACAAATAAATCTTAAAAAAACAAAAAACAACTCCTTGAGGACGCCAGTAGTTTTTAAGACTATCGATGGTTTCCAAGACCTGGAAGTCTGAGAGGCGGTGACCTTGCACGTGAGCGGGCTCGGCGGATGTCCCTCGAACACTCAAGAGGCATGTGTGTTGGGCGGAATGTTCCATGTGGTTCTGCCGGGTTCGGGTGATGCATGGTGCTGTCCAGATTTCCGCCTCCTCCGGTCACTTCCGCGCCTGCGCCTCTCAGCTGTTGACTGGGGGGGCTAGAAGGCCCGTGCTTGGGATTGGTCTGTTGCCGCCTTTGATTCTGTCTACGTTTGTTCCGTGTGTCTCGACACTGTTTTGGGGGGCACGTACACGTCGGGCTGTCCTGTCTTCGGGTGCGTTGACCTTTGTGTTGTTTCAAGGGGCGCTCCTTTACGTCCGGCGGTGCACTTACTACGACAGCCGTGTGTGACGTTCATGTTGTCGGGCCGGCTGGGCCAGCTCTGTCCTTACTGGTGTTGGTGGGTCTGTCGTCTCCGTGCTTTTCCCTCAGCCGGTCCCAGTCTTCACGGCTGAACGCGTCGCGGATAGACAGTTTCCCACTGTCTGTCCTTTGGTCCTCTTTGTCCTCTGCACGGCCACGTTCTCAGTGCCCGGCAGGCGTGCTCGGGAGTCTGCACTTGGTCCCCGGGCTCTGGGGAGCGTGAGGCAGAGGGCTGGCACTGTGGGGCTTGTGGTTTAGGGTGACCCTTCCTGCCGCGGTGGGGGGGTGCCGGTGGCAGCTGGGGGTGCCCCCAATCGGAGCAAGAACAGTGGTGTCTGAGTTCACGCTGTGGAGCTTTTCAACATCAGGCGGGAGGACCCGCTAACACATGACTGGGACGGGGCCCCAGCAGAGCGGGCTGAGGTTCCCAGGGGTGCGGAAGGAGAGTTGAATCAAGAGATGGGGGCCCTGGGAAATAAGCTGGGGTCCTTCCTCTTGTGTGCCTCATCTCTGCCTGCTGGCTAGGGATCCTGGGGGAAGGGACGGGGCTCCTCCCCGGGCGAGGCTGTCGGCGGCCCATGGTTTGTCATGGGACTTCAGGACCGTTCAGGGTCCGTGGGCTGCCTTGGGCTGCGGGCAGGTTCTCCCAGGGATGCTCTGAGGTCAGCCAGGTGGCACACTTGAGCCCCTCCTCAGGCTGCGGGGTTCTTTGCCAGGATGACAGCCGTCCTCGGGTTCTGGAGAGTTCTCTTGTTTTAGACAGGAGTTCTCATTTCCGTGCGAGCTTCTTGAGACATTTAACTGTCTTTAGAGAACACCTGATGGCCTCCTGTGACCCTTAAAAGAGGCCAGCCCAGCCGGAGGTCCTCCGGAGTCAGGCAGAGGCGGCCGGAGCAAAGCTGGATGGGGCAGCTCTCAGCGTGGCTGAGGTAGACTTCACGGGCAAAGAGCTAGAGCAAGGGAAATCCAGACGCTCCGACCTTCATGAACCTGCGGCTAAGCAGAGAGAAATCATTTCTAGCAGAAATCAACATCCTGAAGCCACCACCGACTTTTCTATTGGAGCGTCTGGCGAGAGCCCCTGGCATTCCCTCACTGAGGGTCAGTCCCCTGCTCCCTCCTCCCAGCCTCAGCCGGGCGTCCGGCTCTGTCCCCTCGTCCCTAGCCCCGGTGCACGCTTCTGTGTAGCTGGCCCGCCTCGGGGACAGCTCATGACCTGGAACCCTTCCCCCTGCTCCACAGGGAAGCGACGTGGGGCACCCTGTGACACCTGCCAAGGGGTCCACTTTGGGCATGAGCAGACCTCACTCCCCACCAAGGGGGGCCCCCCTGGTTTCCTCTCCGGGTGTCACTCGCCCCAGAGCTGGACACCCAGAACTGCGGCTAGAAATTGGAGTGTTACACAAACTCATATTGAATGATCTGTCCCTGATGAGGGACAGATGAGGGGGCGTGCACTTGGCCAAAGAGAAGCTTTGTAGAATTGTAACCCTTTAAGGTTGTGTTTTGCAGAGAAAGTTGATTTCAGCGTTTCAAGAAGTGGTCACCGTCCGGAGCTCCGTCTGGGGCCGGGGCTGTGAGCCCGGAGGGAGGTGCCGAGGGTGGAGAGCGGGGCGGACAGGAAGGGTCCCAAGGAGCAGAGAGGCCGAGGCGGACAGGGGCAGAGAAGAGCAGAGGGGGACAGGTGGCCGCCCCAGTCCTGGCTCTTCACCTCCACAGTTTACACCTCAGCCAGGCCTCCCCGCCGGTCACAGCCAAAATGGGTCTTCAGGTCTCCTTTCGTTTTTGCAAAAAAAGAAGCAGCCTTCGGACAAAACCCCAAAGCAACAAACGCCCAGGTCACTCCGGGTTGGATTGCTGCTGCCTTTATTATGCATTTTAATCGTCCTTCTCCCAGAGCCGATGACGGATCGTCGGGAGCGCGTTCCGGGCCATGGCTCTGGGAGCCGTTTCTTTATTCATAAACTGGGCTTCTCCGTCTCGGAGACAGTGAGCGATGCTGTGCAGCGCCCGGTGTGGGGAGGAATAGGGTCATGAATTAAATGGGTGCCTCGCAGAATTTGCATTTTATTGATAGTTTTCATTTCCTTCCACATTATATCATTTTGAAGCCCGTTTTTGATACGCCGGCCTGTGTCATCGGAAAGCGGTGGAGTAGTATTTACTCGCATTGACTGATGTCATTGATGCAGGTGTCACATTGACTGCTTAATAAGCGGGAGGCCAGGCTGTCCCAGGGATCCCTCAGGGCCGCCCGGGGGGCCTCCCCGCTGGCGTCGTGGGCGCTTGGGGTGGGGGGTGGAGGGCGCTGTGCCAACCCGGCTGGAGGTGCCACCGTGCAGCTGGGAACCCCGCCCCGACGGGCCTCAGCTTCCTCTTCTGTAAATGGAACAGCACACCTGGAGACACCCCCCATCTGGCCCGTGGAAACGGGTCACATTTATTGAGCACTTACTGTGTGCCACTGCCATGCCAAGATTTTATTGAAGTTACTGTCTCAGTGCTTCCCAGCCAGTGTTATTTTTTTAAAAGATTTATTTACTTATTTGAGAGAGAGAGTGGGGATGTGGGGGAGGGGCAGACGGAGACAGAATCTGAAGCAATCTCTGCGTTGAGCATGGAACCTGATGCGGGACTCGATCTCATGACCCTGAGATCACGCCCTGAGCCAAAACCAAGAGTCGGATGCTCAACTGACACAGCCCTCTGGGCACCCCTTCCCAGCCACGTTGCCCTTCCCAGGGCAGCCTGGGCCTGCCCTGCAGGGCGGCAGAGAGGCTGGCTTGGGACTGCCCCACTGTGAGGGGACAAGGGTCCCAGGGGACAAGGGTCCCAGGGCCCGGGCTGTCCTCCCTCTCTCCTTTTCCACAAGTCCAGTCTGCCTGCTGCCACACTCGCCGTAAGCTTTACAAGTCTGTCCATCTGCATAATGCTGGGATGTTAGCTTAGGGGACATTTAGAAATCGGGGGATGCGGAAAGATTACACTAAGTGAGGTTGCCATTTTGGTTTTGAGGGGAGTGAAAACCCTTCACTGGTGGCCCAACACCATGCGAATTGATGAACTGTGCAAACAGTAGGTGCACAATAAGTGTTTATGCCGTGAAGGAGTGAACAAGTCAGCACTTTATACGAGCGGCATGAGAAGGGACTGGGCTAGTCATGGGCGCTGGGCTCCCAGGACCCCTCCACGTCCCTGCCTGTGGCTCGCCCGCGCTGGGCTCTGTCCGGGGACGTGCCTCTCCCTCGTTTGCAGATGGTGGCTGGATGGGGCTTATGGCTGGTCAGTGCCCCTCACGCCCCATCACTGGCTGAACGGAGTCCACACTCTTCAGGGGGAATTCGTCCCTCTGACCCCGGCCTGCCTTGTCTCTGCACACCCTCGACCCTCTGGGCCCGCTGACCAGAGCCGAGGTGGTGTATCCCCTCGCCCGGCCAGCACAGCATCTGTCAGCAGCCATGGGTCTGGGGGCTTGGACAGGCCACGAGCCCCCCAACCCGCCATCGGCAAATCGGCAAAGCGGAGTAGGGAGGGAAGCAGGGCCTGTGGTCTGAGGGGGGCAGGGCGCTGGTGTCTGATGGAGACCTGCTGTGTCCTGGCCTTGCCCAGGAGGTTGGCATTCCTGAACACTGGGTCCCGGGGTGGCCTTGCTGGGCCCTTGTGGCAGGGCATGTGCTCCCCACATCTGTCCCTTTTCCTCTCTGAGGCTTTGCCGTGCCTGCACTGAATTCTGTGCTCCTGACTGTCTTGCACAGTTGTGGGCTGTGGACGTTCTGCTTGCTGCCTCTTTCTAGCCCCGACAGTGCCTGACCGTGGCCCCCCAGGACACTGAGTGGGTCTTGGCTGTGTAGCTTTGGTGGTGGAAGCTCCCTCTTCCTTGGGATCCGCTGGCCTGGGCAGCTGCTCCTCCTTCTGGCCCCGCATCCACTCCAGGCCATCATCCCTCTGCACTGGGGACCCTCCATTCTGGACGGGCTCAGCCCTCGCCCAAGGCTGCACCCCGTGCACCCCTTGTATTCACGGACTGGCTCTGCCTCCTGTGTCCCCCACAAATGGCCCGGCAGCCCAGGCCAGCTCTGGGGGCCCCTCTCCAGTCATGGAGGTCACTGGCTCCCACCTCCTTACTCCCTCCCACATGTGGTCTCTGCTTGGGACGCCCCGCTCCAGGTCCCCCTCCACCAGCAGCCGATGGGCCTTCAGAGCGACCCGTCAGATGGTGTCCCTTACTTCCCTCCTCACCGGCTCCGCAGTGTCAGCAGGATAAAGTCAGACCCTCACTCTCCTCGTCCCTGTGGCCTTGACCTCTCCTTCCACCATCATTTCCCAAGACAGCCTGCAGCCCGCGGTGGCGCGTCTGTGTCAGACCCATGCTGTTCTCGGCCCATGAGGGTGGCCCGCGAGCTGACGTCCACTCTGCCCTCAGCAAGGCCTTGCCTGCAGCCCCAGTTCCTGCTTCATCGTCCCTTTCTGGAGCTTGGCCTCTGCGTCTGTGGCCTGCTGGGTGTGGTGGCCCCCCCAACAGCCCTGTCCCGCCCTGCTCTGGCACGGTCGGCGTGGCAGGGGCGCAGGGTCATGCGACACGGTGGGGTAAATGGCGTGTCTGGTCTTTGTCTCTGATTCTTGGGAAGTAGCCTCTGAGTCCTGGAAATTTCCCAAGTGGCAGGAGCAGCTGTTTATGCCAGAGAGGAGGCTCACAGCGGACCCCCGGGTCGTGTGAGCTGCCAAGACAGCTCAGGACGGGGCTGCTGAAGGACCAACCGGGATCAGAGGGCCCGAGCTTTGTGACCTCCAGTGGCTGGAGACTGCCTTCAGTCCGCTGCCAGGCGTCTGATCCGCACTGATCACCGATCAACCGCGTATGGACTGAGTCACAGCTCTGTCCGCCGCACCCCTGTGGTGAAACCAGTAAGGACTCCGGAGCCGCATGCCCGGGTGGTGGTGGTGACCCGTCGATCTGCCTGACTGCAGGGGGAGGCGGCGTGGGTCTCCATACCCAGGACCCTCCCACCCCACCCCCTGCGTCTCCGCTCCTGGCTGGTCTTGACTGGTGTCCTTTATGGTAAAATGGAAGTGAGCTGGTGAATTACTGACAGGAGGGAGTCGTGGAGCCTCTGGATTTGTAGCCAGCTGGTCCGAAGCGGGGTGCCCTGGGGACCCCCGACCAGCAGCTGCTGTCTGAAGCGAGGACCCTCTGTGGAGAATGGAGCCCTTCACCCAGGAGGTGTGGCCCAAGCCCAACCAGGTGGAAGGTGCTGGAGACGTAGCCTGTGGCTGCCAGAGCCCACAGGCTTCTCAGGGGCTTGTAGGGGCAGGCAGAGACCTACATCACAGTCCTTTGCCCAGGATGGTGGGGCCGGGCGAGGCCCGTGTCTGGTCTCTCTCCCCACAGCTGAGTGCACAGTGGGCCTTCCGTGGACGCTTGTTGACCTTGTCTTCCATTTGCCACGTTATTTTGTCACCCCAAGAGTTTGCACTTGGCCTGGTTGGCAATGATAACGCCACTCGGGGTTCTTGGCCTTTCATCATGGACGCTCACTTTCTCTTTCAGCCAGTCCGCTGAAATTACCCAGGGGCAATTAATTCCCGTGGCTTCGGTCTTCACACGCAAGATCCCCAGCTTGAGAGGCAATGCTGTCCTTTTTCCTTGTGCCCCCCAGGCGAGCACAGACACAGCTTGGCCACGGGACCCTGGCCTCTGAGACGCTAGGAGCAGTGTCTGGGACACACGCCCCTCCCGGGCATGCCCGCTGAGGGATTTGTGCCCGAAGCCCCCATTCGGTGAGGTTTCCGGTGCAGTCCTTCCACGCAGGGGCTCTCTAGACACGTGGGAAGCATGAGCAGCATCCGTGAGGAGCCCCGGGAATGAGAAGGTGCCGTGTCTGGAAACCGGAACAGCTCTCGAATTCTAAGCATCAGAGTAGCTTCCGGGCTCCTGGGAAGATCCAGACGTGTCCCCAATAATAAGCAGCTGTCCCGGGTGTGCAGGTAGGGCAAGCCACGAGTGTGCACGTGGGTGTGCACATGCGGACATATGTGCGAGCGAGTGTGTGTGCAGTCCCAACTAGCTCCTGTCAGAGCTGGAGGGGCTGGGAAAGCACTGCTCTCATCTTTTCTCATTTTAAGCAAATCCCTGAAAATGGCTGTAAATACTTCTTTGTGATGAAAGCGAGTTTAAAGTGGTGTAATTTCTAGAAGGGTACATGCTTTCTTCAGGTTCTAGAATCCATCTCTCAGCTGATCAGTGACGGGTGATTGGACATAATTTGAGGCCAGGCGTGGGCAGTGGGCCTGCGTGCTGGGGACACAGATGATCAGACGGGCACCGGCCCTTGGGGAGCACCCCCCCTCGCGCTGTCCCATGTGTGGTGAGGACCACTGTGTCAGCAGAGTCACAGGGTCCCCTGGGCCACGCCAGTGGCAGCACCAAGCACCAGGACTCCTGTTCACAGTCCAGGGGAGACTGTCCCCCAGGCCACCCCAGCCTTCTCCAGGGCCTGGAGTCCTGGGGGTGTCGGGGACGCTTGAATTCTATGGGGAGGAGGCAGCGGGCAGGGTGGCCGGACCCCAGGGGTGAGGCCAGGTGCATCTAGGTTCCAGCCCAGGTGCCCTCTGTCCGCCGAGCCATTGTGCACAGGTGACTCATCCCACCAGGCCCCACTGCCATTTGTAAAGGGGAGCGAGTGCCCCTGTATGTGGGCTGGCGGCACACCTGGGTCTGACGGATGCACGCAGGGCGTCGTGTAGCAGACTCTCATCCAGGTGCTGTCTTTGCTCACTGCCGGCCGCCTGGGCCTCTTAGGTCAGGTGGGGCTGCTCGGGAGGCTTCAGTTTCCCGGTCAACGCCTGGGGCTGCCCCAGGAGAAGGCGGCCCTGGGTGCCGGTGGGGCTCATGCCTGTGTCTGCTCCTGCAGGGACGACCGCTTCGGAAGACGAGTCATCACCTTCAGCTGTTGCCGGATGCCCCCCTCCCACGAGCTCAACCATAGGCGTCTGCTGGAGTAAGTCCCATGGGTGCCTGTGTGCACGCATGCCCTTCTGTGTGTGTGTGGTCCCCTTGTGTGCACACGCATGCACACATACCACCCGTACCCTGTGTACACACACACACACACCACCTCCCACCCCTGTGCGCGCACACACACCATCCCCCATCCCTGTGCACACACACCACCCCCATCCCCCCCCACACACACCACCCGCACCCGTGTACACACACACACCATCCCCCACCCCCGTGCACACACACACACACCCATGCACACACACACTCCTCTCCCTCACCGTCAGCATGAGTGGATGTTCAGGGTTAAAGGCTCATCAATTTGTAGGTCGACTCGCAGGTCCCCAGGTGGATGTTGTATCTTTTTCCAGGTCACCAAAGCCACCTGCGGGACTTAAGGCTTTTCTCAGCCCAGGGTGGCTTTAGGTCCACAGTCTGAAGCTCCGAGCCCAGCCCCAGGGGCCCTTTCAGACCTCCCTCCCACACGCACCCCCGCCCTCTGTGTCTGCTTCTCACCTCCTCAGAAGGAAGGCCATCCACGTAGCTGCGTGTGGCCTTGGCCGCTGTCACCTGCCTCCGTCCTGTCCGTTGCCGCTGGCGTCTGTGCACTCCATGGGCTGGCCGTGCTGCCTCCGACGCCTGCTTCCTGGCGGGAGCCCGAGAGCCTCATGAGAGGTGCTGGGAGGGTCGGCGCGTCCTGATGGCAGCCCCAGTGTTGCTCGCATTCCCAGTTCTGACCGCTCCAACCGGCCCACTTCTCCACCCAGCGTGCAGTGCTGAGGGGCCGTGCCCTGGAGCCCCCAGCTCTAGGGAAAGTGTGAGCGGGTCCCAGAAGCAGTTGAGAGTCTGTGGGTAGTGGTTTTGTGAGAATCCCCTTGACCGGAACCTCCGATCTGGTCTGCAAAAGGGTCTTCTGACAGCAGTGGGAGATATAGTGTGACCGCAGCAACCCTGCTGGCCCCAGGGGCTCAGGAGTCTCAAGCCAGCGCTGCTGCTGCTGTGGGGCAAGATCTGCCATGGAGTCCACAAGGAGCGCCCACATCGTGGCACACTGGCCCCCTCCAGCATGCTCACACATGGGGGGCACGCAGAGAGGGGGTCCCGGGTCAGGGAGAGCTCCCGTCTGGGGTCCTCCAAGGTTAACACGGTCCCTTGCAGATTATTCCTTCTGTGGCTTCACAAACCCATGACCTGCAGGTCAGCTGTCGCTGAAGGCCCACTGCTGGCCTGGGAGGTGTTTAGGATTTGTTCCCTTGTAAAGACAGAAGAACCCCGGACAGACAGAGAGCAGGAGGTTACAGGAGGCAGGGTAATTAACTCATTCACGGCTGTGGGCTTGCTTTTGGGCCACGACAACCTTCGGGAGCTGGATGGCAGCGGTGGTTGCACAACATCATGCGTGTACTCAGTGTCACTGAATTGTGCGTTTTAAAATGGTTAATGCTATGTTATAAATTTCATCTCAATTCAAAAGAACAAAAAACAAAAACACCTACCTCTGATAGCAATGGGTACATGGTGTTTTCTCTTGTGCCGCCTCAGAGACCTTCACTACCAGAAGGAAGTGGCCAGCACAGCCTCTGTGGACAGTTGTGTAGGTTGTTCACTGCACGAGGGAGGCACCACGATGGGCTGCCATCCAGCTGCCACTCCTCTCACCCAGCGCTGGAGGGTATCTATGCAGAGGAAGGAGCGCCTTTTTCTGATTTACTCCAAGGTGCCCCGTGGGCTTCTTGGTCTTGCTAGGAAAAGCGCCCAGGCTGTCTCTTCCACATCTCCATGGAAAACATTGCCACCACGCACACCACCCTCCCTCTCCCTGTCCAAGCAGTAGCTTTCTTGTGGCCAGATGTGCGCTCCTATTTTTGCAGCGAGTGAAGAAATAAGTCCGTGTCTTTAAAGCTCAACCAGTAATTTAGTTAATGACTTCCTGCGCCAAGCACGCCGCACAGCAGATGTACCCCGACAGGGAGAGAGCTCGGCGCACTCGCGGGAAGGACCGGGCAGCGCGCTGGGCTGGAGAAGGGTGCCTGCTTGCACGGAAGTGCCCATGTGTCCCGCGTGGACGGGTGAGCCGACGTAGACGTTCCCCTGGTCTCCTCTCCCGAGAGTCGAGAAACGCAAGGGCGACCATCTGCAGAAATGAGGGGTTCCGGGCGGTGCGGGTGCTCTGTGGACTTAGAGACCTCAGCCCGGCTTCTGCCTGTGAGGGGGACGGAAGGACGGCCTTAGTGAAGGCTGCCCCAGGGGCTTAGTCCAAGCAGTGTTTGAGCAAGTGTCCTGGAGAGTGGGCACTGGGGCTGCCTCCCCAGCAGATAAGCCCAAACCTTGGACACGTCAGGCCAGCTTTGCCTCACGTTTATGCATCGGAGACGAGGGACATCGGAGAGGTCCTCCTGCAGGTGGCTGGTTGAGGCTTGGGGGTGGGAGCGATCGCAGAGTTTTGGGGACTCGTACTGTGGCGTGTGGCCACGAGACAGAACAAGCAGAGTCAGGATTCTCCTCTAGGGTGACGAGAAGAAACGGTCGGAGCTAATCTGGAAGGCGGGAATTGCCGGCTCCTAGAGACACATCAGAAAGGCCGGGTTCCATCCTGGTTCAAATCCCGGCGCGGCCTCTCTTACCCCCGGGGCTGCTAAACTCATCCCTGCGTATGGAGTGAGTGAAACAAATTTATTCTCTCAGCCGGAAGGCCGAAACCAAGGTGTTGGCAGGGCCGTTCCTCCCCTCCAGGAGAGGAACCTTGCCCCTCGCGTCGGCCGGCTGGCAGCAGACCTTCCCCTCCTGGGCGGGGGGCTCCGTCCCTCTCCGCTCTGCCTCTCTCTTCTCAGACACAGCTGCCTTCTGTGATTTCCCCTTTTATCTGTCCTCTCGGGACATGTGGGGCATGTTGAGTGCCCGCCCAGATCATCTAGGAGAAACTCTCCCTCCAAAGAGCCTTACCTTAGTCACAGCTACAAAGACCCTTTTCCGAGTCAGGTCACGTTCATGGGCTCAGACATTTGCCGTGGATGTCTCTTCTGGGCCATCTTTGGGCCTGTCACGTCCCCTTGCTAGCTGTGTGACCGTGACCCTCAGGGCTCAACCTCTCTGAGCCACCTCTAACAAAAGGGGGTGGGGCCCCTTGTAGGTGGGTTCCCGGGGGCCCTGGATGGGTGCCCCCGTGACCTGGGGTGCTGGGTGCTGGCACCCAATGGGTGACCATGGCTTCTGTTCTGGGGAGAGAGTCCTTACTTTCAGTGACAGTGAGAGGTGGTTTTTGAAACCGGGTCTTGTGCTTGATGCCCAGGTACTTGAAGTACACGCTGGACCAGTACGTGGGGAGTGACTACACCGTCGTCTACTTCCATTACGGCCTCAACAGCCGGAGTAAGCCGTCGCCGGGCTGGCTGCAGAGTGCCTGCAAGGAGTTTGACAGGAGGTGTGTGCGCCCGAGCCCTCGGGGGTGGGGGTGGGGGCGGGGGACCGGTTTCAGGGTCCCACTGTGGGAGGGGGGCCAGGGGACTAGGAGCGGTCCGGGCTGTGCCACAGGAGGTGGGGAGCTAGGCTGAAGGAGCTGGGGGTGGGTGGGGTCACCTCCCCTCGGCAGGGCCTCTAACCTGCTTCCTCATCAAGGGCAGGGCCGGCCAGAGAGTCAACATTTTGGCTTCGCCGGCCCTCAGAGTTCCTATTTTTTTTTCCTTTTTTTAATTTTTAAAAATTTTTTGAAGATTTTGTGTATTTATTTGACAGAGAGAGACAGCGAAAGAGGGAACACAGGCAGGGGGAGTGGGAGAGGGGGAAGTGGGCTTCCTGCAGAGCAGGGAGCCCAATATGGGGGTTGATCCCAGGACTCTGGGATCACGACCTGAGCCAAAGGCAGAGGCTTAATGACTGAGCCACCCACGTGCCCCATCGGACCCTCAGATTTCCGTTGAAACCGCTCGGTTCTGCCGTGCAGCATGAGGACAGCCCCAGATAATACATGCACACAGACGTGGAACCGGGTTCTAGGAAAACTTGACTGATGGACACCAGATTGTGAATTTCATGTCATTTTCACATACCATGAACCGTTACTCTTCTCATTTTTTCCCCAACAATTAACTATGGAAATCCGTTCTCAGCTTGCAGCCTGTGCAAAAGTCGGGGGCCTGCCGGATGTGGCCCGTGTTCTCTAGATGGCCGACCCCTTAGAAATGTGGCAAAGAAACACAACCGCGTGGCTGTCTTCCAGATGCCCTTTGTGCTTTCTCCGCACTTTACAGCGTGCACAGGGCCTTCTGGTGTCTCTTGGAGAGGTGGGCGGCGTGCTGGGCAGGTGAGGACACACAGGTCCCAGAGGGCAGGTGTCTCTCCCTGTACCCCTCACCTGGTGTGTGGCAGGGCTGGGACCCACCTGAGACCCTGTCTCCCTGTCCCACCCAATGCTCCGCACCACTTGGGAACAGAATGGAACCGGGGGATTTTTTCTTGAACGACATGTTGCGTAACAATCGATTTCGGAGTGTGTTTGGCTAATGGGCTGCACTCTCGGGCCTTCGTGTGGGTATCCTGGAATCCTCTGGGTGTTCCTTCTCAAAGGCCCGTCGTACCTCTGATGCTTCGAGTGGGTGGGATGCTGGCCAGCAGTGCCTGACCTCCCAGAGCCTGCCACCTGTCCTTTGGATCCTGCTGTCATCATCTGTGACTCTTTGGTGGAGTTTCTTGCCTTTCTGTGCTGTGTCTTAGGGAAAGGATTATTGCGTACTTTGCCGTCATTTACCTGACACTGTGTGCCAGGCCCTGCAGGGGATCTGGAGGCAGCTGGGCCTCAGCAGTGGCCCCTCCCCCATGAAGCTCTCCTGGATTGTCCCTGGACAATCAACAGCCCCTTCCCTGCAGCCTCGCTGTCCCTGACCAGACAGGGCAGCTGCAGAGTGGCGTGTTTGTGACCCCGCGCCCGGCTACAGCCCCCCCAACCCATCTCTTTGTCCCCTGCCTGTGGGAAAAGGTCTGCATGGGGCAGGTTCTCAGTCAGTGGTGGAGGAGCCAGGTGGGGCTGGGAGTGAGTGCTGGTGTTCAGGCTGGGGCAGTCAGAGAGGCCAGCTGGAGGAGGTGACCTCTGAGCGGCCCCTGGAGGGATGGGCAGGGTGTTGCTAGGTGGCTGACCTGAGGAAGAATGAGGGGTGCTGAGGCTTCGTGGTGGGAAGGCCGGCCTGGGGGATTCAGCTGGGGAACGGAGGGAGTGGAGGGAAGTGGCCAAGGGCAGGGCGTGTGCTGAAGACGCCAGACTTGGTTTAGGAGGCAATGGGGAGCCATGGAAAGTGCTTGAGGAGAAGTGAATGACGTGTTCAAAGTGGCCTTTTTCAGAAGCTCAGACTGACAGGAGGACATGATAGGTACCCCTCTGTTGAGCCGATACAGATCAATTATCGAATGGAAGGAGGCACACGTGTCTCCTACTTCTCCCATAGGTGGACCAGGAGGTGGCCCTGGATATAGGTAGGATTATAGACCTTGGCTCAGTGAGATAGAAAAGGACAGTTACTCTAGGCATCAAAACCAGCAGTGGAGTGTCTGCTGGGATAGTGAGTTCCCCGTCACCGGAGGTATGCAAGTGGAGCTCCAGATGCAGTTCCGTGAGATTTATACCACGAGGGTTTTCTGCCTGCTCTCGCTGCACCCTGGTGGGTGTCCTGCGTTCTTTTCCTCTTGGCTGTTGACTCCTCGTTCTCCGGAGTGTTCTGCTGGGCCGTTCCTTTTAGGGAACCAGTCCACACAACGTGCCGGACCCCCTTCCGGGAAGCCACCTCCACGTCAGGAGTGACTCGGCGGCAGTGCTCTGGGACCCTGGACCACCCGCAAGTCGCTGCAGCCCCCTCCCTGCACCGAGAGCCTTTCTCTTTGTAATTAGTTAGTATTTCCTTGGGAGATACTTTGCTCCTTATTGAAGTGTCACGTCCTGGTCTTAGCCTCCATCGCTCGTTCTCGGCCCGGTGAGAGCTCTGAGGGGGCTGGGGGTGCCGAACGGGGCTTGGAAGTCCTGGCAGTTTACCCTAAGGAAGAGCGTACACTTCCGGCTTGCTTACATCCGTATGGACTTGCTAGTTCCTGTTTCGTTCAGTGGGTTCTAGTCCATGACTGTGTTTAATCAGATTCAAATGCGGCCACGTGGGTGCCCTTCCTGTGACCCTCAGAGGCGTCCCGTCCCGTCGCGCCGAGCGAGCCCTGCCCTTCCGGAATCGAGCACCAGCAGGGCTCCAGGCACACGTCACCGGGCTCTCAGCCCACCCCGGGGTCTGCCGTTTCTCTAGGGGCCCTGGTTCCGCTCAGTGCAGACAGTCCAGGGGCCGGGGCTGGAAGGACTGTGCTCGTTGCTTTCGGGGGCACTGGCTCCCAGGCCCTGTGCATGGACAGTTGGGGTGTTGTTCGCACGTCTCCGTTTCTGCGGGGGACCGTGTGCTCACCCTGGTGCCTACAGCCGTTCCTGCCCATCAGGGCTCCTCTGGCTTTCTCTCCGCATCTGTCCCGTCCCCTCTGCCAGCGAGGACCTGCCCGTGCCTCCCTTACTGACTTGCTTACCCGTCCGTCGCCCAGCATCTGACTTAGCTCACTTGCTGGTCGTGTTACCTTCTCAGGCCACCCCACCACTGTGCACCCCCTTCCCGTCCCAGTGTGTCCCCGTGAGGAAGCCCTGCTCACACACCGGGCCTCCAGTCACCTCCCTTGTCCTCTGCCCCTCCCCCCGACCCCTGGGGCTGGCCTGGCGGCAGCCTGGTGCACATGTGATGACTAGCTCTTGGGGGACGTGGGCCGATCTCAAGCCACCATGGCCAGCTTCAGGGTCCCAGCGTGTCGCCACTGGACACAGAGTTGGGGTGGCACTCAGTGTGGACTTATTAGACTTACTCAGATGCAGCAGACAAATAGCGTCACGGACACGGGAAGGAGTCAACACAGTAAAATAACAAAGTGATGAGTTTTGAACATTTATTACCTCAGTGCTTAATATGATTTATTTATTATGTGTTTATGCTATTTAATTTGTTTTTCACAACTGGGTCCCCAGATGCCTGAAATTCTGACCATCCATTGGCTCTTGTGAGGGGGTGAGAGCTGGCCAGAGTTCCCCAGGCGGACCCCACACCCCTCCCCTCACACAATGCCAGGCGGGGCCACGACCACCCTGCCCGCCCCCGCTGCCTCCACCCTGGCTGGTGCCGACCTCCTGGGCCCAGCCTCATGGCCTTGGACTGAATTATTCTGGAATGAGGGGAGCAAGTGAGCTAAGTAGCTCCCTCTTTTTAAGTGGGTGCCCCGTACCCTGCGGTGTCATGAACAGCTCAGCGAGCCCCCCGCCTCCCAGTGTGGGCGAGTGCCCAGAAGTAGGGACGCTGCTCCTGCAGACTGTAAGGTGTGCCGTGCATGCCGGGCGGTGGAGGCGAACACGTGGTCCTGATTCTCTCCTTCGACTTGGGGCTCAGTGTGCTTGAACCGGCTGCGTGGACAGAGCCCAGGTTCTGAGGCTCCCGGTTAGGCTTTGCGGTTACTCAGCTTCGGGTGTTGGGCGTGTCGCTCTGCAGTCCCTTCACGCTTCCCTCCTCAGGTACAAGAAGAACTTGAAGGCGCTGTACGTCGTGCACCCCACCAACTTCATCAAGGTCCTGTGGACCATCTTCAAACCGCTCATCAGGTACGCGGCGTTCTCGGTGAGAACCTCACGGGGGCGGGAGGCTGCGTCCCGCAGGTTCGGGGCGGCGGCAGGCGGGGGGCGGCTCTCCCTAGGCGGCCTCGTGGAGGTCTCCTCTCTGGGGCATCCACGTGTCTGGGCTACGCTGTCCACCCGTGGCTGTGCCGGGTCACGGGCTGACGGTCATGAATAGGAACACAGACTCTCCACTGGTGACCTTTGCACCTGGTGTTTTGAACCCCACCCTGACCTGAGCACCTGCTTTCTGCACCTGTGTTGGGGGTCCCCAAGGCCAGCTCAGGTTGGGTGGGCACTACAAGGACTCACAAAACTCAGACCAGCACTCCTTCCAGAGAGCGTGGCCCATGGGGCCCTGCGGGGCGTCGGGGAGGGGTCGGATGTGGCTCCCGGGTCTGCAGGCTGCACTTGGAGAATTTCTGGAATCGGGGACTTGAGTCTGCTCCCGTTTACCGCAGGAGAGACCTCCGTGGCCGGAGTTCTCCTCGTAGTTGGAGAATTCCCCGCCTGTTTTCCCACGGCCGGCCCCTCCCGCTGCCACAGCCCCACGCCTGCTGGGAAGGTGGGAATCTGTCCATCTGTCCCCTTGCTTAACCAGGACCAGCCCACGGGTGCTGCACTTGACATAGTGAGAAGCCTGTGCTGGTGACGCAACCGCCCGAGAAGATAGTTCAGATGTTCTTCTGCTCATTGGCTGTGTCGTTCGGCTTAGCAAAGCTCTCAGGATTCTAGAAACCTGAGTTCTTGGGGAAATACTCATCCCTCCCACTCTGCCACTCGGCCGCCCGGACGCTGGAGTGGTTTGGGAGCTCGGGCTTGTCGCAGCCCCGCCTCCGGTCACCCAGTGTTCTGGGCGGGAGGTACAGCCTCTCTCTGCCTTAGTCTCCCGAGCGGCTGGCGGTGCCACGCAGTTCTTCTGTCCTTGCGGGAGTTTGTTGACCAGGTCCTGCCAGTGCTCAGAAGCCGGCCTGCGGGGCGCTAGCTGATCTCAGTGCTGGCTGCTGACGTTGCTTTAAGAAAAAAAAATTTTTTTTTAAAAACATTTATTTATTTATTTGACAGACAGAGATCACAAGTAGGCAGAGAGGCAGACAGAGAGAGAGGAGAAAGCAGGCTCCCCACTGAGCAGAGAGCCTGATGTGGGGCTCGATCCCAGGACCCTGGGATCATGACCTGAGCTGAAGGCAGAGGCTTAACCCACTGAGCCACCCAGGCGCCCCCTAAAAAAAATTTTCATATCTTTTCGTGATTCATTTATCACAACTTCTCATACACCTAATGTGCATAGCACCGGAAACGATCCCATGTCTTCTCCCTCTACCAAAGGAGAGGAGGTTGCTACTCAGAGAGGTTAAGTCCCGGCTCGGCGGGGTTTCCAGCTCAACCCCGTGTGGTTCTGCCACTTACCCTGCCTCAGGCGTGGCCATACAGTGGGGCCAGGAGAGAACCTCGGGAATCAGGGCTGGAGGCGCTGAGGTCAGGACTGGGTTCTGCCACCTGTTGGCTGTGTGGCATCAGGCAGCCGCGTGACTTCTCTGAGCCCTCGAGTCCTCATTTGGAAGTGAAGCGGATCAGCACAGAGGCCCTCCAGCGCCCAAGAACCAACAGAATGTCCACGGGCCCCTCCTGATTCTGACCCTCGGGGGATGGGGCCCGGAGCTTGCCCTGAGGCTTTTCCGGGGTATCAGTGGCAAGAAACAGGGTTCTGCTTATATCTGCCCTCCAGACCTCCAGGGCCTGGTGACCAGCAAATGCCTGGCCACTGGAGGGGGTCAGGCAGCGGAAACATGGCGAATGTTGGAGGGTGTTCCTGTGTGGGCAGGGGCTGGCCCCAGAGGACTCCCTGCACCTCAGAAGCTGACCTCTCTGTCCCCCCACAGCCCAGCCGTGCATGCGGAGTGGCCTGGACCCCCTCTGCCCCCAAGAGCAGGTGGCTGGGGGTTGGGGCACGTGGCCCAATTCCTGCTCACCCACTAGGGGGAGCCGGTGCACACGGCTGGGCCTCCCGTGGCCTCCCGTGGCCTCCCGTGGCCTCCCGTGGGCTTGTGGTGGAACAGCTGGCTTGTGCCGCAAGGGAAGAGGTTCTCGACGTCTGCCCGGCCAGGAGCGTGGGGTTGTGATTGACGACTCAGTGTCATGCCCTCGACAATCTGTCCAGAGGACACATATTGTGTTGAGCGTTCTAGCCACACACACAAAGCCAGGGGACGCAAGGAACACTTTGTAGACGATGGACCGGCTCATTGCCGTGATGGTGGCGACAGCATCACAGCGTATGCATGTGTCCCACCTCCCCATGTCACACCTGCAAAGTCCGTCCGGCTCCGTGGGTGCCGGCGACCGTCCAGTGGAGCCTTGACCAGGAGCTAGGCGGGCAGCGTTCCTTTACCAGGGGCAGGTGTGGGGCAGGGTGTGGGGCCCCTCTCCCGCCGGATCCTGTTCCTGTCCTTGCTCCGAAGCTTGGGGAGCAGGTTCGTTGGTAACAGTGGTCCCAGGTGGTATGTACTGGGTGTACACGGCAGACGTCTTCCCAGACAGTCCCGCTCAGAGGGAGAACCCGTTCCCGAGGGGGAGGCTGAGGCCCTGAGAGGCGGGGAAGCAGACGCGGCTGGGGCTTGTCCCCACAGTGGTGCTCACCCCCAGCTGGCCTCCCAAGTGACACTGTCCCGGAGAGAGGGCAGACAGCGCCTTGTGTGCTCCCTGCCCCGCCCCGGGACCCTCGCAGAGAGGGGGTGCCCAAGCAGGAAGGCGCCCCAAACCGCAGGCTCTCCCAGCCCCTCCCTGCCCTCGCCCGAGTGTGCAGACTCCTGGCAGAGTCGAGCTGGAGGCAGGTCTTTATTTTCATGCAGATGAGACGCTGCACTGTCGGCGTCTCTGGTTCTCAGGAAAGTGGCAGATCAGACACGCGGCGGCTTCTGTCGTGTCCCCGTTTCCACTGGAGTCAGCACTTACCCTCTCTCGGCGCAAGACGCACCCGCGTTGCTCTCCCCGCCCCCGGCCTGGCCTCCTGGGCTCATCGTCCTTCTTCTCCTGCTTCTGATTTTTCAGTCATAAGTTTGGGAAAAAAGTCGTCTATCTCAACGGCTTGAGCGAGCTCCGCGAACACCTCAAGTACGACCATCTGATCGTCCCCCTGGAGGTTCTGCGGTGAGTCGGACCCGTTCCGAGAGGCGTGGAAACACCCTGGGGATCCCACGGGCCTCGGTCCCCCCCGCCGTAGCGTGGAAGGCTGCGCCTCCAAACACGTGCCCAGCAGATCCGGCCCCGAAACGCGCGGCGTCAGCAGGGATGCTAACTGCTGACTCAGGGAGCCGAGCTGCCGCGGGCTGTGCGGGCTGTGCGGGCGGATGCCGGGCCCTTCCCCCGCCCCCGGGGGGAGCTGATTTAAAAATACAGGCCGCTGTGGTAACTGCTATTCTCCGTCTCGGTGTTTACCGCATTTGCCTTGAGCAGAGAATCGGGGGCATTTCTCAGGCGTGTGCATAACGCCGTGTACAGAATGCAATGTTCTCGGGCCCGTCGCAGGTGCTCTGGATGGCAGCCCCAGCCGGTGGCTTTTGCTGAAAGCCTGTTCGTGTGTCTGCTACTTGAGCTTACATGGCAGCGGGGATCTCTCCCATGGGGTCGGGAGCAGAGGAGGGTGTGCGGTCGGCTGGCACCACAGCACGCAGGGGCAGGTCTTGTAACCCCGGCCCTTTGCATCTCCCTGTCTGGGGCTCCTTGGAGGGAGCAGGGCCTTCTCCGAGCTGCAGGGAGGTGGGGAGGCTTTCAGGGGTGGGGAGACGTTGAGCTGCTCTGGGCACCAAGTCGCACACCAGAAGCTGGGCACACAGGGCGGTGTGGGGAGTGACCCTGCCCCGGGGTGGCAGGGGCCAGGAGTCGGTGACAACAGCTAGGGAGGGGACTAGGGGCAGGGGGATATCAGGGGAAGAAGTGAGTTTCCCAGGGACCGGTGGCTGGGTCCAAAGGCCGGCGAAGGGTGCTTCCAGCAGAGGGAAGCCTTTGTGTAGACATGTGGGTGAAATGTTGGCCCGGGGTTGGGCGGAGAGAGTGGGCATTTGCTGAGGTTTGATTATCCTGTGCCTTTGGTGCGAACACCCACAGTAGTGGTAGACAGTGTGTGTGCATGTGTGTGTGCACGTGCACACACACGCGTGGGATGGCGGTATGGCGCCTGGGCGCAGAAGGACAAGGCACGGGTCCTGCAGAAGTTCCTGGGGCGTCCGGCCCCTGCAAGGTGAGAGCCATGCTTCCGCTGTGTCCTCAGGTATGATGAAAAGCTCCGGAACCTGCACGAGGGCAGGTCGCCCCCTCCTGCCAAGATGCCGCCGCCGCGGCCCCCTCTGCCCACCCAGCAGTTTGGTGTCAGTCTGCAATAGTAAGTGAGCTGGAAGGTGACCTGCTGGTTTCCTCTGGGGGACCATAGGACACTCGTGTCCCAGGGAGGCTGTCCCCAGGCCTTTATATCCAGCAGTCCCGCTTACCCCTGTGGGGAACCTGAAATGCACTCTTTTCCTGGAGGCAGGAGCGCCTCCTTCCAAGTGCGTCCGCGTGAATGTGTGCAGGGGACCCAGTGGCAGGCAGAAGACAGGGTCCCTGGGGTTCTTGCCCACGTGCAGGGGACCCAGCGGTGGGGAGGGGACCAGGTCCCTGGGGTTCTTGCCCACGTGCAAGGGACCCAGTGGCGGGCAGGGGACTGGTTCCTGGGGTTCTCTCCCGTGTTCGGGGCATCCAGGCCATGGCAGGACGCATGCCACCAGCCTCAAAGTGAAGCATGCTGTGTGCTTTGCTTCGGCCAGTGAGGCGGGGTGGCCGTGGGGCAGGGCCCGTCGGGAGGGAGTTTGGGAGCCAGTTCACCGTCTGCCTTGCAGTGACGGCAGCCGGGTGGCAATGCCAGCCAGTCCCCCCGGGTGACCACAGTGCACCTCCCGTGGCTGCCACTCCAGACGCAGAGCCCGAGTGAGAAAGGAACCTCTGTCAGGTCCAGCGCCTGATTGGGGACTGTTAGTGTCATAGCGTGGTGTGTCCTATCCTTCCTGACTGGTCTCTCCCCTTACCAGCCGCATGACCCTGAAGCCACTCCCCATCTCAGCTCGTTAACTTACTTCTGGAATGAAGGAGCTGGAGGATGTGACCATTAGCATGTCCTTGTAAAGGATTCCGGGCCAACTTTATTGCTTTTGAGACTCACCCAGTGGCCCCTCCTGCAGGAAGGCTTCCCTGATGCTGTTGGTGAAGTATGGGGCCCTCCTGCCTCACCACCGTGTCCGACTGGCTGATGGGGAGCCTTCCCACTCCACCGCCTGGCAGGGAGCTCCTGGTCCATCTTGGTGTCCTCTGCTGCTGGCCGTAGGCCAGACGGAGGAGGTGTTTTATCCGATGGCCGTGTGGGACCGTTGGGTCTGGTGTGCACAACGTGTAGAAAGCCGGGGTCTGGAGGGTGGTGCTGGGTCCTGGATAGTGGTTTGCTGAGTCTCGACCCTTGGTGCGACTTGATGCAATCTGAAAGGTTGAGCATTGGAGACTCTGGACGGTGTCCTGCCAAAGGCGCTGGGGGATCCCCACCTGCCCCCTTGGACTTGCCACTTGCCTCTCCTGAGGCCCCTGGGCATGCAGATTCCTCATCCTCTTCTCGTGGGGGCTGTGGGGCTACAGGGGAGACACGTTGGGGACCTCTCTTTCTTCCTGACCTGGAGTGAAGGAGGGCTGCTGCGTGTGATGGGAAGAATCACGGCCCCTGGGGACGTCAGTGTCCCTGCGATCGTGTCTCCTTACATGGTGACAGAGACTCCGCAGAGGTGATTCAGTGAGGGATCTTGGGACGGGGAGGGACCCGGGTGGGCCCAGGGGCACCACGAGGGTCAGAGTCAGAGGGGAGCCGGGAGCACGGAAGCAGGAGGCTGGAGTGACGTCAGGGAATGCAGGTGACCCCGAGGAGATGGAAGAGGTAAGGAACGGGTTCTCCCCTCGAGCCTCTGTACAAAACACAGCCCCATCGACCTGTTTTAGCCTCTGACACCTGCAGAAGGCTAGGACCGTAAGCTCTTGTCATTCGGAACTGCCATGTCCGGAGTAATTAGTTGCAGCAGCACAGGGAGCTAAGAGCCGGCAGGGAGAAGTGTGTGGGGGAGGAAGGTGTACGGACACCTGGCTCCCAGAGCACGCCACGGGGGCTGGCTCTGGCTCGCAGGGGCTTGGGGGCTGGGGGTCGAGCTGAGGGTGGGGCTGGCACGGGTAAGGAGGTGTGGGTAAGGAGGTGGGAGTCGTCCACACCTTAGGTGGGTCTCAGCAGCTAAAGATGAGCCCCATTTTCCAGAACTTTCTGCAATGATAGACGTGGTCCACACTGCCCGTTGTGGCTGGTGTGGCACAGGCCCTGAAGTTCTAACTTTATGTCATTTTAACGGATGTGAACTTAAATGGTCCCCGGTGGCCTGCAGGACAGTATGGCTCTAGAGCCCTGGCTCCCACCCGGACACGCACACAAGGGGGTTCCCTTGAAGAGACCTTCAGAAGCACTTGGGGAATGCAGCGTCCGTGCAAATATGGTGTTACCACATAGTATCCGGAACAAACGTTTACCAGATTTTACTTCTTCACACGCTGTAAAAACGTGCTGGTGTGACCCACTCCGGCTCAGGGGTGTGACTGGTGGCCCGCCGGGGAAGGCAGCCGGGGATGTACCTGCAGTGACGGGGGGGCGACCTGGGGGTGCTGTGAGAACTCAGCTCTCAGACAAGGGGCCCAGGTGGGCTCCGTATTTCTGAGGCTTCTGTTGTCCGCTCTCGCGTTCAGCCTGGCCTGTGGGGCAGCGGCTGGCTGGTAACAGGGGTCCTCGGTGGCCACGCCTGAGGCCCGCGGTGCTTCCGTTATCCGTCCCTTAGCCTGGCGACCCCAACAGGGCCTTTCAGATTGTATTCAGAACCACTTCTGTCTCCGTGTTGTCCAATAACATTTTAAAAATGAAAAATAAAAAAACAAAACACACCAGACTCCTGGATTCCTAGCGCCATCGACCCGAGTGTAGAGCGGGGGACACAGCCTCGGCCTTCCGTCTCGACAGACGCTTTCAGAGTGTGTTCACAGAGCATCTGAACGCTGGAGCCTTCTCCGTTAGCAGACCGAAGACGGGTATTAGAAATGTCCTTTATAAAGGCCTCGGTTCACTCTGGTTCTGGGGCCACTTGTAACTAAAAATCAGTTCGTTGTACTTTTTCTTTTTTTTTAAAGATTTTATTTATTTATTTGACAGAAAGAGATCACAAGTAGGCAGAGAGAGAGAGAAGGAGAGAGGAAAGCAGGCTCCTTGCTGAGCAGAGAGCCTGATGCGGGACTCGATCCCAGGACCCTGAGATCACAGCCTGAGCTGAAGGCAGCGGCTTAACCCACTGAGCCACCCAGGCGCCCCTTCTTTTTTGACGCCCATTGCGGGGCTTGAACTCACGACCCCGAGACCAAGAGTCATCTGCTCAACCGGCAGAGCCGACCCGGCGCCCCCAGTTCATTGCAGCTTTAGGGAACGATGAGTATCACGGGACAGCCTCTGAAGAACATGCCGTGTGTGCCACTTTGAGCGCTAATCCGTGGGATTGCCTCTTTAAATTAATATTTTATGCTGTTTCATTGCAAATGACTACAATAAAATGGCAATAAACATATTAGGTAGAGCACCAAATATGTAATTTGGACTATGAATGAATGGAAGTCATTAAAATTCATAACCAAATCCTATTCACAAATGTTAATTTGCTTAGTTAAGTTCAGAAGCACACAACAGAAAGCTATCACCTTAGAACAAGCTAATTAAGTTAATATGTTAAGGGGGAGACTGAGAGTCAAGCTAGCTTTGCTCCTCGCCATCCCCGAAGAGGGAGAAAGGCACGTGTGCATTCCGTACAGCTCTCTCTGGGCAGCTGTGGGGTAGGGGGAAGAGGGCAGGTAAATGAGGGCCTCCTTTGGGTAATGGAGGGGATGCAGGTCCCAGCTTGGGGAAGTCGAGCCAGTGACGTAACTCACTCCAGTTTCTTTCCCCGTAAGTGGAACTAAAACCATATTCTCCTCACCTCCAGGCCCGGGGGAACTTCACAACAAGGTGTGCAGACCGTGTGAACCAGTCCCCGCTGCCCGGCTTGCCGGCTCTCATTTCTCCTTCATCTTCCCCTCCTCCAGGAAGCCTTCCCTGATGACTCCACACAGACTTAGGACCATTTGTTGAAATGACCATTCTCTCTGCTATCGAATTGCCTTGGCTCCCTTGTCATATACCGATTGCACGTGAGTGTGAGGGTTTATCTCCGGACGCTTGATTCTCGTCCATCAGCCCATGTTGGTTCCACATTGTCTTTAGTACTGTCGCTTGGTACTAAGTTCTGAAGTCGGGAATGTGAGTCTCCCGACTTTGTTCTTCTTTTTCGACATGGTTTTTGCTCTTTGGGGTCTCTTGCATTTCCATGTTAACTTCAGAATCAGCTTGTCTATTTCGTAAAAAGGCAGCCGGGATTTCAGCAGAGATCGTGCTGTCTCTGCGGATCCCTTCGGGGAGCACTGCCGTCTTCCCCAAACCACACTTTCCAGTTGGTGAACCACGAGAAGTCTTTCCTCACAGGTGGATCTTTTCCTTTCCTTTCAGTGAAGTTTTATGGCTCCCCGTCTCTGTATTTTGCACCTGTTTTTGTTAAACCTATGTAAGTGTTTTGTTCTTTGCGATGCAGTTGTAAATGAAATTTTTTGCGTTCCCTTTTTTTGGATTGTTCACTGCTAGCGAATAGATGTAGTTGATTTTCGTACCCTGACCTTCTGTCCTGCTGCCCAACATCAGTTATTAGTTCTAATAGACGTTCTGTGAATTTTCTGAGTATTTTCTATATCCGAGATCATGTCATCTGCAAATAGAAATAGTTTTACTTCTTCCTGCCCATTCCAGATGCCTTTTATTTCCTCTGCTTGCCCGATCGCACTGACCAGACCCTCCACTGGGTAGAGCACGCACATCCTTGTCTTTTCCTGTTCTTACTGGGAAGTGGCTATGATTTTTCCCCATTCAATGTGGTCGTAGCTGAGGGTTTTCATAGACACCCTCTGCCGTTGGAGGAGAAGCCCTTCCATCCCTAGCTTGCTGAGTGGTCAGGTCTTGTTTTTCTTTTTTCCAAGAAGTGTGTGAGATTGCGTCTTATGCCTGTTTTGCCTTTATTGAGATCACATAGCTTTTGTCCTTTGTTTTTGTTTTTAAAAGATTTTATGTATTTATTTGATGGACAGAGATCACAAGTAGGCAGAGCAGCAGGCAGGGTGGGGGAAAGCAGGCTCCCCGCTGAGAAGACAGCCTGATGCGGGGCTCCATCCCAGGACCCTGAGATCATGACCTGAGCCGAAGGCAGAGGCCCAACCCACTGAGTCACCCAGGCACCCCTGCTTTTGTCCTCTGTTAATATAGTGATGACATGGATTGATTTTTGTGTTGAACCAACCTTGTATTCTAGGAATAAACCACGATGTTTGTGGTAGATCATCTTTTCACATGTAACTCGATTGCTTTGCTGGTATTTTGTGGGTGTCTTGGTGCCTGTATTCCTCAGAAACACGGGCCTGCGGCCACCTTCCATTGTGGTGTCTTTGACTTAGCTTCGTGGCCCTTATGTTTTTTGCAAAAGTTTGTGTCGGATCAGAGCAAATCTTTCCTTCATAGGGGTTGTGGGATCTTCAGACTCATGGGAGAAGGGCAGGTGCTCCCCCTACCCCCACCTCTCCGCCTCCTCTCATATGTGCAGGAATGGGATCTGGGGCTGACAGATTCAGAGGTCCCCTGAAAGCAGGAACGCGTGGCTCTTCCAGCTGTGTCTCTCCCAGAACGGAAGGTTTTGGCTGAGCCGGGGCCTGCTTTCATGAGTTAAGAGGTGATGGGCGTCCAGCTTTCCCTTCTCTTTCGCTGTGTGCCTGGGTTCACTCGTCTTTGGCCTCCTGCGCCGCGGGCTGTCCAGTAAACAGAAGTTGCCACTCTTTGGGAATGGCCTGTGCGGAGGGGAATAGGGTCCTCAGGCTCTGGTTCTCAGTCACATGGGTCGGCTTGACTTGCTAGAAACCCCACCCCGTTAGAGTTTTGGGGGCAAATTTTCCAGTTCTTCCTTCACCTCCCACAGGGGCCAGCTGTGCCGAGGTGGGTTAACCCCACCAGACACCCAACCCACAGTGTGAGGCTATGGTCTTTCTGAGTACAGGGCTCGGGAAGCGAATTTTGATTTGAACCCTCAGCTCTCTGGCTTCAGATAACGTAATTTCCCTCTCCGAGTCTGCTTTGTCTTCTGTCCCAATGCGGCCCAGCGACGTAGCCCGCAGTCACGGCGGTAGGTGGGCGTGCTGGTGCACGTTGGTCCTCCGCACGCTGTGGTTCCTGGGGTATCCGCCTGCGTTCCCCAGTTCTGCCGGTGCCCGGGACCTCCCGGCCCCCGCTGCGGCTGAGACCTCCCCAGGTCAGCGACGTGAGCTGAGCTGCAGCCACTGTCCTGCTTTCGGAACTAGGAGGGGGATGAGAGATGAAGGAGCGTCTCGGACGGGTGGGAAAGCCTGGGTCCCAGCAAGGCAGGCCAGCCCGTCCTCCCTGTTCAGGCTATTTCTACAGTCTCTTTTCCTTTCTGTGTTCCTGGCATGCAAAACCAGAGAACTAACATGCTCTGAATAACTCTAGGCATGTCCCCCAAGGGGAGGGGCTACACACGAGAATTACGTGCGAGAATCCCTGGTGCCCTCTGGGGTCTGCGGGCCTGGAACAGCACTGTGCCCCCAAGAGCCCCTGCACCTGGCGTGTGCCTCGGAACTTGAGTTCAGGGTGTGGGTTTAATGTTCCGTGCCCCCTTGCGGAGGCTAGCCACGGCCTGCACACCTGGGGATGCACAGGGCGGGTCGTGGGAGGACAGGATTCGCTGCTGTCCTGGGCACTCCGCCTTCACCCGGCCAGGAAGCACCTTTTATCCAGAACCCCTTGGGCAGAGGTCATTCTCCTCCCTGACTCAGTGGGCTGAGCAGCCCCTCTCCGAGCCAGCAGCTGGGGACAGGGATGGAGGAGAAATCCTCAGCGGGACTTTCTGTGCCGTCGAGAGTAGTAATGGAACGCCAGGACCACAAGCTGCTCACCACAAGACGCCCGGCTAGAGTCTGTGCACCCTGAATGCCCGGGCGAGGAGGCATTGCTGGGCTGGGGGGCCCCGCGACTGCGAGCGGACCCCTCACTTCTGGGACCCCGGGCACCTCCCTGCCCTGACAGCCCGCTTGTGAAAGAGGAAATATGGGCTAAGCTGTAGGCAAGGGGGTCTTTGGGCTGCTCATCAGTGTCCATCCGGCCTATTTTACAGGTCTCGGGGGGGACCCCTCCCCAAACTGTTAACTAGCACAGACTTTGGATTGAACAGACCCAGGCTGTCACGTTGGGAGATCTTGGGCCGGTCCCTGCAGTGTCCCCAGCCCGTGTCTTCCCATGAAACGGGCCACCCATATCTGGCCTGGGAGGCCACTCAGGCCCTGGCATTCCAGTGATTTGAATTGTTGGTACATTTGACTCGGAACATAACCAAGCCTTCCACATCCCTCACCACTGACTGCCGCTCCTGGGGCGGGGGTGGTCCAGTACCTCAGCTTTCCATCTGGGGAAACAGAAGCTAGGGAGGCTGAGAGATTGGCCTCGGGCCACCCACCTCCTCAGGGCAGGGCCGGAGCTCTGTCTGGCTCCCAAAGGAAGCAGGAGGAGGAAGAGAGCCGCTCGTTCCGTCCACCATGTTCCTCCCTCCCTGGGACACAGAGGGGACTGTCCAGACTCTACTCCAGAGGGACACGGGAAGCCAAGTCTTGGACAGGGGTGGGGGGTGTCCACCCACGTTCCTATGACGACAGGACTCACAAAGGCAGCGGCTGTCATCAGGGCCTCTCAGCTGGCTCGGTTGTTGCTTCTCATCCCGGACATAGAGCTTCAGCAAAGAGACACCAGGAAACCAGCTGCCCACGGAGCGTGGGGCACTCGGAGGCCTGTGGATGCTGTTGGTGCCATGTATTTAAAAAGATTTTATTTATTTATTTGACAGAGCGACACAGCAAGAGAGGGAACATTGGCAGGGGGAGTGGGAGAGGGAGAAGCAGCCTCCCCACTCAGCAGGGAGCCCGACGTGGGCCTTGATCCCAGGACCCCAGGATCATGACCTAAGCTGAAGGCAGACGCTTAAACAACTGAGCCACCCAGGCGCCCTTAAATAAACGTTTTTTTTTTTTTTTTTAAGGTGAAAGGATGGAAAACTTAAGCCGTGCAACCACCAACCTAAAGAAAGTTGGAGTAACTATTAATATCAGGCAAAGTGTGTTTCAGAACAAGAAATAAGCCCAGGGGGCGCCTGGGTGGCTCAGTGGGTTAAGCCGCTGCCTTCGGCTCAGGTCATGATCTCAGGGTCCTGGGATCGAGCCCCGCGTCGGGCGCTCTGCTCAGCGGGGAGCCTGCTTCCTCCTCTCTCTCTGCCTGCCTCTCTGCCTGCTTGTGATCTCTGTCAAATAAGTAAATAAAATCTTTAAAAAAAAAAAAGAAAAGCCCAGGGACAAAGAGGGACATTTCATAATAATAAAGAAGACATAAATTTAAAAGTGCATGGGCTAGTAACCGAGTTTTTAAATACACGAAGGAAAACCTAGTAGAACCCAGAAAGAAGCAGATACAATTCCACGCGGAGACATCCGTACCCTGCTCTGAACGGTTGATAGGTAGAAGACCAGCGTCTGGAAGACACGAACAGCGCGGTCAGCCAAACGAACCTAACTGACCTTTGGACAACATGTTCTCTAAGAGGAACAACGCCCCTGCTCTTCTCAGCTAAAATGTGCCGGAGCAGGACTCCAGCCAGTGTGTCTGACCTCAGAGCCCTTTCCCTCTGTCCGACACGGTCTCCCAAGGATGCTGCCTTCCGGGCGAGAACATCTGTCAGATGAGGAGAGAGAAAAACATTTTACACAGGAGGAAAGGGGGCAGTGCAATGCGCGGTGTGGGCGGCTCTGGCCTCAGATGCTAACTTTGGGGTGGAGTGTGTCTGTGTGTCTGTGTGTCTGGGAGGGCCATTCTTTTATGTTTCTGTGTTTTCAAGTTGCCTTGTGTAGCAAATCTCTATCAGACGAGCGCAGTAAGAGGCTGGGTGTTGTCCGGCGTGTTATCTGATGGGTCAGCATCTGGTCTGGGTCTCCTGGGTCTGTCCTCACAACCGAATCCCATGCCTCCAGGCCTGCCCTGTGCACTCCCCTCTGCCTGGAACGCTCCTCCCTATTTGGTCCCCCACGGGCTCCTACCCATCCCTCACAGCCTACTCATAAGTTGCCCCATGGGAAGCCCTCCCAGCCCCCAGGTCTCCCCTGTGTCACAGGCATCTTCTCAGTGGAGCCCTCCGCTGCCGCATTATCCTTTTTCCTACCCCTGCGTCTCTCTTGGCACCAGAACACTGACTCTCTGAGCACCGAGGCTATATCTCCCCCTGCACGGCTCCTCGGTCCTGTGTTTTCACGGCGGCGTGGAGAGGACCAGAGTCTCCTGTCAGGCCCAGGAAACACTTACTTCCTCTTCTTTCCCCTCAGCCTCAAGGACAAAAATCAAGGGGAGCTCATCCCTCCTGTGCTGAGGTTCACGGTGACGTACCTGAGAGAGAAAGGTGAGTGAGAGCTGGCTTCCGCCCGGGGCGCGAGGACCTCTGGGTGCACCTCCCTGGGGGCTCGACTCCTGTCCTGCGCACCCTGCAGACTAGGGAATTGGAGGGGGTGGAAGCCGCACCGGGAGGCTGACCAGGATGGGCTGGGCTCAGGCACGTGGACTGTCCGGGTCTGAATCCTGGCTCCACTGTGGACTGGCTGTGTGACCTTGGGCAGTTACTTACCTTCTCTGGGCCTCTGTCTCCTCATCTGCCCGATGCAGTTGGTAACAGTACCTGAAGCACGGGTTGCTGTGCGGCCTAAATGACACGATACACGTAGAGCCCCCCATAAATGATGACGCGACAGATAGCTTTTTTGCAGGTGCCTTCCCCAGTGGGGCGGGTGCCTTCGGTGAGAATGGTTCTGTGGGTGGGACAGACTGCCGGCGGGGGATGGACCCGCAGGTGCAGGTGCCGGGGATTGGGGGGGGTGCAGGCTGCAACAGACGAGACGTGGGGGCCACTGCTGATTCCCCGGTGCTCCCCGGTGCTCCGTGACCGGGCGTGCTCAGGACTGCGTGTTCCCTCTCGGGCTGGAGGACGCTGTGGTGGTCGTTTGGAATGGTCTCCACTTTGGCAGCACTTCCCACCTGCTCCGTCTTTCGGAAACGCACAGAAGATAGTGCTTCACGACCGCGAGTCAGAAACCGTGAGAGGGCGTCTCCTTGGTTCGAACCTCTCCGTTCCTTTAGTACGAAATCGAACGAGAAACCCAGCGCAGAGCAGGAACTCCGTGTGTGTTTGCTGAGCGAGTACATGACTAAGCGTGTGCTCTTTGGGCGCCTCCCTGTCTTGAGCCCGGATGGAGGCACTGGGGTTGCCATGGTAACCGCAACTCCCAGCCCCTGTTCTGGGGGCTCATGGTGGGAACCAAGAGACTCCGCGACGTTTTCCTCCGTTAACACCACACTCGTGACGACCAGGTGCTCACACGGGCTGGGTTGAGCTGTCCTGGACATCAGGGGACCTGAGCTTGGACACTTGGGCCGAGGGTCACTGGACCAGCTTCCTCTGCTGCATGACAAGTGACCACAAGCTTAGTGGCTTCAAAGGCATGAATTTATTCTTGAAGTTTCTGTAGGTCAGAAGTCAGGGCGCTCGGGGGCCAGTCTGCTTGAGGCCTCACAGGGCGAAACTCTAGGCATTGGCCAGGCTGTGTCCCTTCCTGGAGGCCCTGGGGAAGAATCCACTTCCACACTCGTTAGGCTGTAAGCCCAATTCAGTTTGTGCAGACATGCCTGTTTCCTTGGGGCTGTCAGCTCTTTTTCTTGTAGAGGTGCACACTTTCCCCTTCCCCTGTGCTCTCCCCCTCCACCAACACACCTTCCCACCTGTCAGATCCCAGCCTCCATGCTCCAGCACTCTGTTGCCAGGAAAAATCTGGTCCCTTTTTAAAAGTTTGCCTGATTAGGTCAGGCCCACCCAAGATAATCTCCATTTTTAAAAAAAGATTTTATTTATTTATTTGACAGAGATCACAAGTAGGCAGAGAGGCAGGCAGAGATGGAGAGAGGGAAGCAGGCTCCCCACTGAGCAGAGAGCCTGATGCGGGGCTCGATCCCAGGATCCTGAGATAATGACCTGAGCTGAAGATGAAGATAGAGGCTTAACCCACTGGGCCACCCAGTTGCCCCACATAATCTCCATTTTTTAGGGTCAGCTGCCTTGGACCTGAGTTCTGCAGAGTCCCTTCTCTGGAGCACGTAGACTAGTGTTTGAATGAATACCAGGAAGAAAGCGTCTGTACCACAGGGTCCAGGAATTGGAAGCCATCTCAGAACTTTCCCTACCGTAGTCTCGCAGAAGAAAAAGAGAGGGACCAGTCACTCACACAGAGGGAACGGCACATGCAAAGGCCGGGAGTAGTAAGGAGTGTGGGGCAGAGTGGAGGCTGGAGGTGGGGGCAGAGCAGGCAGTGGGGCCGGAGAAGCTGGACTGTGCAGGTCCGTGGTGCCCGTGGGAAACTAACCCGCGAAGACGGGGAAGGGCTCCGTGGAGACTGATCGGAATCGGATGTAGAATGCTGAAGAGCTCTCTCAGCTTCAGAAGAGAGAAGAGTTTGGGAGGGGAGCCCATTGCGATCCTCTAAGACTTGGCTGCGTTCTGTGTTCGCCGACCCACGTAGTAGCCTCTGGCTGCTGGTGCCAATAGCACGATCGAGCACTTCCTAGGTCCCTCCCATGATGGGACACTGGATTTTTAATCTTATTTAATTTTTACGACTTAAATGTAAATTTACATCACCCTGGGCAGCCAGTGGCTACCACACTGGATGGGTCAGCTGTGTAGACACAGCAGTGGGAACACGGGGAGGCAACACCTGTGGAGCCTTCTGGACGCGGGCCTCGTCCCGTGGATCCTCTCTGTGGCCCTCAGACCCCGGGCTCGTGGCCTTACTCTGTAGACAGGGCGGCCGAGCTCAGAGAGGCCATGTGCTTTCTCTGAGGTCACGCAGCTGGAATAACACAGTTGGGCTGGACCCCAGGACTGTCTGACGAGAGTCTCCCTTCCTGGGGGCCGCAGAAGTAGACCATCCGTTGGGGTTGGGAAATGAAGCTTGAGGAATAAAGGTGGGGCTGGTGGACGGTGGGGGTGGGAGGGAATGAACCCGGCTGGAGAGCATGCCCTGCCAGCCGCAGGAGGGTGATGTGTGGGCAGAAGTCATGGAATGTTCCAGAAACCTGATGTGCTGGGACCTGTGAGATGCCTGGAGGTCTTCCTTCCATAGGACTCCGCACTGAGGGCCTGTTCCGGAGATCGGCCAGCGTCCACACCATCCGCGAGATCCAGCGGCTCTACAATCAAGGTGAGTCCGGCGCCCAGAGACCCCTCGCGCTGAGCACCTCCCCCCACCGGCCTGCACCGCCCTCCAGGGCTGCAGAGTCCCAAATCCCAGGGTAGAGTGGCTACCCCGCCCCACCTCAGCCCCAGAATAGCCCAGGCCTCTGGAGAGCAGAGGAGGGCAGGCCGCAGCGGCCCCAGCCCCAGATGACAGGGGCACGCCCGGGACAGGGACACGCCCGGATCCAGGAAAGCTCTTCCCCACAGGAGTTTTAAAGCCATTTGCATCTGAGGCACCCCACCCCCGGGAAGCCGGATCCCCAACCCCGTCAGGACCCAGATATGACGTTTTCTGTCCAGGGAAGCCGGTGAACTTTGATGACTCTGGCGACATCCACGTTCCCGCCGTGATCCTGAAGACCTTCCTGTGAGAGCTGCCCCAACCACTGCTGACCTTCAGGGCCTATGAGCAGGTTCTCGGGATCACCAGTAGGTGCCTGTCCTGGGGGTGCCCACCGAGGGCCAGTCTGGGGGGGTAGGGTTTGCTCGCAGTCTGGCACAGTGGGCCACGGTGTCCACGGCCAGGCCAGGCCACCACGGCCAGGCTAGCTGCAGGGACAGGCATGTCATCGACCCAAGGCGGGAGCAGAACCCCACAGAGGCAGCGTGTCTCAAGGTGGGCGTCGGTGTTTCCCCTGAAGGAGAGCAGAGGGGGCACTGGCAGGAGGAGGGCAGAGGGGAGGGCTTCGCAGTGTGACTGACGCCCTCTGGCCTTTTTGCACCAGGGGGTGGGGCTGGGTGGGGGCAGACGCTGAGAATTTTTAGCAATTATGATGGAAATAACACAAGCTCGGAGTATAACAAACCACCCCCAGCCCCAAAATCAACAGCGCAGAGGCAGAGGCTCTGTAATGAAGGGGGAGGCCTCTCCCACCCGGATTCAGCAATAAATAAAATACAGGATGTTCACCTCAATTTGAATTTCTAGTCAACAATGATTGCTTTTTTAGTGTAAGTAAGAGTTGCTGTTTATCTGAAATTCAAAATTCGCTGGGTGTCCGCTGTTTCATCTAGAACCTCTGCTCGGAGGGGATGGGTCTCTCCTTGCAGGGATATGAAAGCAAGGCTTTCCGGGGTGCACTCGGGAGGAATGGGCTTTCTGGGTGGCCTGCGTTATCCAGGGCACAGGGAAGTCATAGCCGGGACAGCCATCTGGTCTGCAGCGAGGAGGTTAAGAGGACTGGCTTAGAGCCAGACAGATCTGGCTCCAAGTCTGGGCGTCCACACGTGTTAGCTCCGTGACCCTGGGCATGTCACTTAACCTCTCTGAGGTCACTTTCCTCATTGGTATAGAACAGGGGGTTGCTTTGAGGATTCAGTGTGCATAAAACACGTGGCGTGTCTCATGGCCCACAAGAAGCGCTTTATGACAGTCTGCAGGCGGCCCCCTCCTGCTCACCCCCGAGGGCTCTTTCTCGAAGGGACTGTAGTGAGAGCTGCAGGTGGACCTGGTACCAGGACCCACTCTGGGACCATAATTCGTAGAAAGATGACATTGAGTCTGGGAAGCTGAGGTCCAGGCACCAAGAGGGCAGCCTCCAAGCTCATTGGTTTCTTGGGAATATTAACTTCACGGGGCTCTGTCTGTTGACATTACCCACGAGGGCTTGAGTTCACAAAAGAAGAGCTTTTATTAAGAGGCCGACAGGAGCATTCACGGGTAGGGAAGTCCCTGCCTTTCAGCAGTGGCTGTGTTTGGAAGGCACAGGGTGTTCACGGTGGCCCTGCCCAAGGCTTGGCCAGAGGAGGTGGGCGTGTTGGGGGAGCAGGACGTGCACACGCGTGTCTACCGCAGAGTCGCTGTGGTTCCGCTTTGACTCGCAGCTTACGGAGCCCAGTGGAGGGTTTCTTTCCGAGGAAAGTGGGGGGTCTGAGTCTGGGACAGCCTCACCCAGACCCGGAGGGCCTGGGGCCCCGAGCCGCGGGAGTCACAGTTCACATCCGTCTGCAGCAGGCTTGGCGAACTTTCTGGGAAGGGCCAGACCGTCTTTCAGGCTCTGTGGGTCCATCCGCATTGCCGTCCTCTGCTCTGCCGTCCGGCAGAAGCCCCACAGAGGATGGACACACGGAGGGGGTGGCTCTGTGTCAGTCCAGCTGTACTGACGAATGGGGCCCCTGTGGCCCGCAGGCTGCGGTTCGTGGACCGCTGGGCTAGACCGTTCCCGCTAGGAAGTGAGTGACTCGGCTTCCTGCGCTTTCTGGGAGGTCACAGCCGCAGTTTCAGGGTAAAGAAGGGACTGGAGCTCTCGGAAGGGGGGCTTTGTGGGGAACAGCTACATGGCCCGGACGTCAGTGAGGCATCCAGGCCCAACATCGGGACAGTCTGTCCTCAGAGCTGTCCTCCCTGCGTCCGTGCTGTCTCCTTGGGAAGGACTCAGGAGGAGCCCCGTCCCGTTGTAGGTGTGGAGAGCAGCCTGCGGGTGACCCGCTGCCGCCAGATCCTGCAGAGCCTTCCAGAACACAACCGCACTGTCCTCAGCTACCTCATGGGCTTCCTGCATGAGGTGAGTGGGCAAAGTGGGGCCCTGGCAGCAGGGGAGGGGGGAGGCCCAAACTCTGTGCCTGGCCCAGGCGGCCTGTCCTGCTCATGGTGCCCACACAAAGCAGGGTCTGGGGTCTCCCTGGCTCGCAGGACCTCAAGGCCTGACCAGGCAACAGCTCTGCTTCTGGTGCCCGCCCCTGCTGCCCCCCGACATGGCTGCCCTCGCTTACTGATGGGAACTTCTTGACTGAGGTCCCCTGCTCCCATGTCGTCTCCCGCACGGGCTCTCTGTGGAGGGAGGAGCAGGGTTCCCAGGCCAGGGCACGAAGCCCGATGCACAGTGAGCGGACAGAGCCGGCCGTTCCTGAGGGAGGAGCGAGTCACCGGGTGCGCTTGTGTCCTGGGGCTTCCATAACGCGGTGCCACCGACTGGGCGGCTACAGACAATGGAAACGTGTTGTCACGGTCCTGGAGGCCCAAAGGCCAGAATCGAGGTGTGCACAGCACCGTGCTCCCACGGGGGCTCGAGGCAAGGGTCCTTCCTGCCCCTTCCAGCACCTGGTGGCTCACATGTCCCTTGGCTTGTGGCCGCCTCGCTCCTGCCTGTCCCCACACGGCCTCGTCCCCTCTCTGTACAGATGTCCTGCTTCCTCTTACAAGAATGCTTGTCACTGCGTGTAGGGCCCAGCGGGGTAATCCAGGATGATCTCACTTTGAGACCCTTGATTACCTCTGCAGGGACCCTCTTTCCAACTGAGGTCAGTCACATCCTCAGGTTCCTGGTAGACGTCTGTTTGGTGGGGCTGCCGTTCAGCCCCCTACACGGGGTGAGAAAATGAACAGTGAGGGAAGCACTTGTCCCGGCTCGGGGTCCGGGCTGAGCTCCCCACGCCTCGGGCAGGGAGTAGTAGTCTCTGGGGTCGGCAGGGAAAACCTCAACAGATCCAAACGGGCCGCTCCCTTTGCTTCCAGACCCACGACCCTCTGTCATCCGACCTTTCCTGGAACACTCCTCCCTCCCGGCCCTTTGTAGGCCGTGTGCAGTGTAGGTGTGAATGAAGCTGGTTTGGCTGTGGGGCTCTCAGCCGCAGGGCACATTTCCACCCACATGGCGACACCACGGCGGGGGCCTGCTCTGGGTCTTTGGGGCTTGTGTGGGAACCCTGCTGCCTGGCAGGTGGCCTGGGAATGTGATGACCAGTGGAGGGGAGGGGACCTCTGGGCAGGGCCAGTGTCACCTGTTGAAGTCCATCAAACACCACCTCTTGGTTTTTTGGGTTTTTGTTTTGTTTTGTTTGTGGTTTTTTTTTGTTTGTTTGTTTGTTTTTTTACCACCTCTTGGTTTTAAAAGTAAACTTAGGGGACTCCTGCCTGGCTCATTCGGTAGGGCAGGCCACTCTTGATCTTGGGGTCATGAGTTCGAGCCCCATGTTGGGCGTAGAGATCACTTTAAAAAAATAAGCTATCTCGTTCTCCTTCTCTGTCACTTGACCTTATTTCTCAGAAGCCAAAAACTAAGTGATCGTCATCTTTTTTTCTACTTTTTTATGAACTAGAGATGGATTTATTTCTCTGTCCTCTGCCATGCTGCTGGCATTAATATGTCCCCTGGGGCTTGGCGCTGCATAGCCTTGGCCCCCAGAGGACACCTGCAGGGGCTCGGGGCTGCGTGTCTCCCAGAGACGAGGCTTGGGCGGTCTGGGCATCCTCATCGATCCCAGTGCAGTTCTCCCCAACCCCTCCAGTTCTGTGCTCTCCTGTGACCCCCGAGGCTCTGCGTTGCCTACTTCTGATTCATGGATGCCCCCAGGACCCTGGAGGCAAGGAAGAGATCAGGCCATGCCCTCTGATGCCCCCCCCTCCCCAGCCACCTACTGGCTACATGACTTTGAGCAAGTCCCTTGCACCTTCTGGGCCTCAGTTTCTCCATCTGTAAGATGGGTGACGTATCCTTTTTGGGGTTCTAAGTGCTATAAGGCAAGCTCTTGCCCCCACATCGCCCCCAGTCCTCCAATGACCCCTGCGTGCTGGTCAGTCTTGACTGTGTCCGACTCACTGGCCAAATTTTGGATATCGGAGACGTGCTCTGGCTGGGTGACACTGAACACCATGCTTTTGCACCCACCATCCTGGAGGCACCCCCCGCCCCCTGCCCCGAGGGGACCTCCCCGGTCCTTTGGAGTAGTAGACAAGACTGGTGCTGAGGAGATTCCAGAAGAAGCTCATAGGTTGTCAGAGCCAGAGGGGCCCTCGAGCATCAAGCCCGAGCCCTTCCTTCTGCAGACGGGGAAACTGAGGCCCAGAGCAGGGTGCTGGCTGCACAAGGCCCTAGCACAGAACCCACCGTCACTCTCCTGGTCTCATGTGTGTCCTCCAGGTGTCCCGGGAGTGCATTTTTAACAGAATGAACAGCTCCAACCTGGCATGCGTCTTTGGGCTGAATTTAATCTGGCCATCGCAGGGGGCGTCCTCCCTGAGCGCCCTCGTGCCTCTGAACCTGTTCACCGAACTGCTGATCGAGTACTACGAGAAGGTCTTCAGCACCCCTGAGGCACCCGAGGCCCGTGGGGAGCTCAGCGCCAGCACCCAAGGCAGGTGAGCGGGGCGGCCCCTTCACCAGAGGCGGTGCCAGACCCTCTGGGGGCCCCACCTAGCCCCCCACGCCTCCACAGCCCCTGACGGTGGCCCGGACGCTCTACTAGGGCGAGAAATGCCACGTCAAAGGTATGTGTGTGTGTGTGTGTGTGTGTGCACGAGTGCACACGCTCTCACGCTCCTTGTGCTTCGTGAACTTGCCATTAAACTGTTAGGAAACCTTCCAGCAAACAGCCGGGGTTCTGACTCTTGGCCCTTTGGCATGGTTCGGCGGGTGTCGGGCTGGCGGGAGGTCAGCTCTGAGGACGCAGCTCCCCGGCAGGTGCCGCCTTCCCTTACTAGGCTGAGCGGGGCGTGCTCCTGGGCAGACAGAGGCGGCAGCACAAGTGCGTGTGGCTTTCAAGCCTTGGCTGGTGCCCAGAGCCGGTGTCACGTCCGAGGCCGAGGTCGCTGTGGCAGGGCTCTGAGAACTTGTTTGGCGGAGGTTGACCATGAGGAGGGCGGAGACTTGGGGCCGTAGAGCGGTCAGCCTGCTGAGAGGCCCCGGTCCCGTTCCAGCCCTGCAGTGTCCGGCGGGCTGAGCCCTCCACGCGGGGAGAGGCAGCCACCCGTTTCCAGCTCAGGTACGGTGGAGGCAGGTGCTTCCGCATTCCCAGCACAGAGCCCCCAGACTCACCCTGGCTGGACAGGCTTGGGTCCCATGGCCACCCTGCCGTGGCTGTGGCCAGGTCCATGCTGATTGGCCGGGGCCTGAGCCGGGTGCCCCGCCCCTACCTGGGCTGGGGTGAGGGCGGGCTGGCATCCCCGATGTGTCAGTCTGCTTAGGCCGTCATGACACAGGCTGGGGGCTTCAACAGCAGACGTTTCTTCCTTACGGGCTGGAGTCCAGAAGCCCGAGATCTGCGCGGACAGGTTCAGGTGCGAGCCCTCTTCCTGGCTTGCCCGCAGCCACCTTCCCCCGGTGTCGGTGCGTGGCAGGGCAGGGAGAGCTGGGGCAGAGCCAGCCCTCTGCAGTCTCCTCTCACGAGGACGCTGACCCTCGTGGACCCAGGCCCACTCTCATGGCCTCGTTTACCCTCAGTTACTTCCCCTAGGGCCACCACTTCCGTTATAGCCGCCCTGGGGTTTAGGGCTCAACATAGGGGCTTGGGGTGCGGGGGCACAGGCCGAATGTGACAGGCCTCCCGCCACCCTTCACCGAGTGTCAGCGCCGTATCAGACGCTATGCTACGTGCCCCAGGCTCTTGCTGCGCGGGGGAGGGGAGGGCTGCTGGGCACGGAGAACAAACGTCCACTGCAGATGTCCCATCCGCCTGTCCAGGCCCAGGGCGCGGTGCTGACCCCCACGGTGCCCGTGTGAGTCCCGGGACTGGCCCGGGCTCTGTCCTGGAGCTTGGAGCGAGCAGGTGCTCCCTCTTCTCACCCCCGCGGCGTTTGCTCCCCTCCCTGACCTGCTGGTGTGCTCTCTGCCGCTCCTGTCTCGTCTTCTCTGTCGTTGAAGAAGGGGATGTGTGACCTTGGGGCCATCTCCCGGCACCTGTCCGTGGACGGCAGACACGCCCCCGAGGATCGGTTGGACCCAAGAGTGGGAAAGTGTCCCGCTCCCTTCTCTGAGACTTCGCTGACACGTATCCGTCCTGTGTCACGGTTGTAGCCCGACACCCCTGGGTCCTGGCCATCCGTCCAGTTCATAAGGACACTGATCTTATTCAAGTCTCCAGACCAGAGGAGGTACCTCAGGGTCACAGGGTGCTGCAAGGGGGTCCCTCCTGCTTACTGAACACGTCTTCCCTGGGAGAGGAAGGCTCTGTGACGTCAGGTCACTTGTGGTCGGAGGCTGGAGGACAGCAGACTGGCGATGTGGGGTCACAGGCCAGCGAAGGGCAGGTGTCTCCGTCCACTGGGTCCCTACTGTGTGTGGCCTGGTTCTGCTTTGCTCCCTGACCCCCCCACTCTGCTCTGTCTGTCCTGCTCCTTCCTGTGCCCTCGGCTAACCCAGACCAGAGCGGTCCCCTCATGCCCTTGGAAAGTGACCAGGGTTTCCTTTCTCTCCTGTTCTGCCACAAAGCCTTATTCTTTTCTTCCTCTTCTTCCTTTCTCTATTTTGTCAAACCCAGCCCTCCCGCTCTGACCCGCCCCAGCCAGGCACGGAGAGCTGAGACGCAGCCCCAGCCTCTGGGGAAGCTGCCCACCGTCTGCTCCCCTGCCCCAGGGAGGGGGTCTGTGCTCCCACAGTTCAGCACAAGCCCAGAAAAGCCTCAGAGCTCTGTTGCCAGGGAAAGGGGAAAAAAAAACAAAACACAACCTGAAATAAAAATGATGGGTCCCTTAAGAGCGCACCGCTGTGAACAGCAGAATTAACAACGACATTAAATCAAGTCCGTGCATTCCGCAGAAGGGTTTACGGTGTGGCGCGCGGCACTGAAACGTAGGTCTCAAATTTCCTGACTCCGAGAGGCGGCCCGGAGACGTCTTCCTACGGCTGCTTTGATAACCATCTCCCTTTCACAAGCGATAATTGCGGAATCCCAGGTTCAGCACCGCGTGGCCTTGTCACCCTTCCTTGTATCAAAGCACCATTTCCCTGTCAGTTCCGCAGCAAAGGAGAGCGATTACGGCGCTAATGTGTGGCAGGCACGTGTGGCGCATTTCAGTGTAACACCGTGAAATGTGATGCGGAAATGAGGACTCCAGGGTGTCTCTGTTGACAGGATGTGTGGAATAAATTGTTCAAACATTCACTTTTGCAGGAACGACAAAGATTTTAAGTGACTCCGGAGATTAGGCAGGCTGCCCAGAACTTGTAGCTGATATCCGCAATGAATTATTGAATCCCATCCAGAACATGAAAGTCGATGGGAAAGCAAGTGGCCGGTGCGCCCCAGAGAGAGCCAGGCTGCCGTCACGGTGCGGGGAGCCAGGACCGGGCACCCTCACTTCTGCCGCCAGCTGAGAGTCCCAGCTGTGTGGCCCTGGGCCAGTCATTCGGCCTGCACAGGGAGTTCAAAGTCAGAAGGTTCTGCCTCTGGGGGTTCTGCCCCCGCCACTGTGGGTGGGTGAGCAGGGTACGTTCCTCGAGCCTTTTCTCGCTGGTACAGTGCCGAAGGCAGCACCCACTCTGCAGTCCCCTGTGTGCTTTCGAGCACCTGCTTTGGGCCAGGCAGCCCCAGTCTCACAGATACAGAGACGAGAGAATGCACTTCCCGCCCTCAAGGGGCTTGCAGAATGGTTGGGGAGGCAATAAGCAAAGAAATGTGCCAAAAAGCGTATTTAGGGCTAAAGCAGTGTGCACAGGACACAGGCAGGTGCGAGGAGGGGACAGAAGAGAGAGTCCGGGCACCTCCCAGCTTTCTCATCTTGAGATCCGCGGGCGGCTGAGGGTGGTGTCTTCCCTGACATGGAGAGGTTGGGAGAGGAAGGGCAAGTTCTGCTGCTTTGATCACAAAAGGTCTGCTGTTGTGTTGTAAGAACTGCTGCTCAGAAGGGAGAAGAAACTCAGTGACAGGAAGTGTAGAAAGAGAAGGTAAAAATCACTTGAAATTTTCCTGCCCGTAGATAACCACTTTCTTATTTTGGGAACGGGCACTTTTGTCCACTGCCGGCGCAGGTACCCATTGGTCTGGTCACTTTGGGGAGCAATTCAGCAAGCTGAAGCCGCCCCAGCAATCGCGTGTCCAGGCAGGGAACCGAGGAGGTCGGGGCAAGAGCATCACCGCCGTGTTCTCGTCCAAGCAAATGATTAGGTACAGCCCGAGCGTCCGTCAGTAGAAGAAACGGCAGATCAAAGAGCTGCATCCACGTGACCAAACAGTAAACATGAATGAGGCGGATCTGTGTGTCCCAGCGTGGGTGGGTCTCTGCATAGTACATCCAGACGAGAAAAGAAACCAGGGAATGATAAATGCTGTGTGTTCTCACTTGTGTAAAGTTCTGAAAGGTCCCCATCCTACGTGCAGTTCATGAATTGTACAGTATTACACTTTTTAAAAAAATATTTATTTATTTGACAGAGAGAGATCACAAGTAGGCAGAGAGGCAGGCAGAGGGAGAGGAGGAAGCAGGCTCCTCGCCGAGCAGAGAGCCCGATGCGGGACTCGATCTCAAGACCCTGAGATCACGACCCGAGCCGAAGGCAGAGGCCCAACCCACCGAGCCACCCAGGTGTCCCCAGTATTACACTTTTTAAAGAAGACTTCATTTTTAAGTAATTTTACACCCGCCAAGGGGCTCAAACTCACAACCACAAGATCAAGTGTCGCGTGTTCCACCCACTGAACCAGCCAGGCGCCCCAGTGTTACACTTTTTGAACAATATACATAGAAATGTCTTTGCAAAAAAGTGAATGGGCAGGAGACATACCAGACTCCTCAGAGAGGAGAGACACCAAAGGGTCCTTAACTGTTTCTGTCATGTTTTATATATGTAAGTGTTCAGTTTCCAGTGTGGCTGAATTGCGTCTACAGGACTTGACCTTTTCACAGACAACATTGTGAGCTCTGGACAGAACACAAAAGAACAAACAAACAAGAAAGCGAGCAATGACGTGAAGGCCCTGGAGAACGAACAAGGACAGATGCTGGAGGGAAGTCTGCGCTTAGAAAAGTCAATGGCACAGATGAGCTTCCATTATGTAGCTTTGAAGCTGAGCCAGGGTGAAGTTGGCACTTCTGTTCGAGCGCCTTTATCTCCAGTAGAAATTCACAGTCTCTTTGGCCTGAAGAACAGAGGACAGAGTTTGGGAAAACAACAGTCACTAGAAAGTGGGTAGGGAATTCCACACAGGAGAAAGCCAGCTCGGGGGAGCCTGAATTCTGTGCATGCTCCCTGCTCAAAGTTCTGCCTGATTGCTGAGCCACACCTGTGTGGGACAGACACCAGCTCTGGATAAAAGACCCAGCCTGACGTTTGCGCTCCCAATAGACAGCGTCTGGGGCTTGACTCCAGCAGAGCCCAGAGCCTCTGTGACGTAGTAGTAACAATGTCCAGCACACAATGAAAATGATTATATGGAGAACCAAGAACATGCAGTGTA